GTAACGGAGAAATGCTGCAGGGTGCGGACACGAACGTGTGAAGCAATAGGAGTCTCAATGCCTGGAATGGCGCGTGGATAAGTAGGGAAGAGGGCCGGACGACCATTCAACTCATTGACATGGAGATCATTTAAGTTTAAACCAATACCAATGACTGACTTAATCAAACAAAACTATTACATGATCAAGGATTTACATAACAAATAAGGCTTGGAAATAGAGGCTCAGCAAATCACACAATATCGCTTAACATCATAAACTATGGCAAAAAAGTTTTCAAACATAAACGGTTGAATACCCAATAGAAGAAACCGATTCTCTTTATAAAATGAAAGAAACCTTTTCAACTTCACTTGGTCCACACTGCGTGTCAACGTTTCTGTATGCCTATATTTTCTTTTATTTCAATTTTAACGGTGTTTCTGATTACAAAAAATCAAATGATATGAAGTCCAAGATGTTGGTTACCTACCTAAAGTCTTTTCATGGTGTAAAAGGCATGTCTCGCAAATCACTCTTGCTTATATTCGTATCATCCCATAATAATGTACCACATGTAGGTATGTAATGCACGCCCTACCCTAGAAAGATTAAAACGTAAATGTTACTATAAAAGAGGAGACCAGTTGTTGCCACTTGAAAAAAATGTATATATCAACTCCCATAAAAATGAAAATTAACAGCAACGAAACAAATGCATAGATGACATCATTTATCAGAAGAAATTTAACCTTTGTACAACTCATTTGGGTTGATGAGGAAATTTAATTATTCGTGTGATTTTATTCATGTAAGTTAAAACTATGTTTAACATAATATGCCTATTAGAACTGATGTCAATCATTTGTCCAGATATGGAAAAAGTCTTCTCTTTACAAGTCACGGTTTTTTTTTATTATTATTTGAAACAATTTGAAATTCGTTTTTCATTTCTTTCAATGATACCTTATTTTCCCAAAACATTATAAATGTTTGTAATATTGTTGTCATAACTAGCGGATAACACAAAATTTGTTCCACACCTTAGAGTAATTCCTAAATACTATTGTTTTAAATTTTTTAATATTGATAAATAATAAAATAAATAAATAAAAAATGATCACAAATATGTTATTGTTATGCTAACATCTGGATAAGATCTAGATTGTTACATCTAGTCCAGTGATTTTTAATTAGTATTTTGTGCATAAATCAGAAAAAAAACATCAAGGAAGAGATGAAAAGAAAAATTTGGAATAAGAAGAATAGAAAATATTTTATAAAGAAAATTTGACTCAAGCTCTTTGCAGGCTGACCTATGTGTCAACCTAGATGAGTAGATATAGCTATTAGAGGGTCAAATTTGAGGACAAAAAACTCATCATAAGAGATTGAATTTGTTGACTCAATAATCGACATCAAAATCAAGAGAGGGATACAAAGATTCTCTCTTAGATTTGAATTGTATGATATCCTGAACTGTAGTGACAAGTGCTCAAGCATCCCTAATCATAATAAGACTATAGAGTTGTATTGTAAGATTTTCAATGGCTCTCAAAGTAATATGCTAATTCAATAAGAATCTACTTTCTATAGTGTGGATGGTGTGTCATTCAAGGGAAACTATCGAATACGAGCATATCAAAGTAAAGAGTAATCAAAGTAAAAATGAACTAGAATAGTGTTGAGTATCCTGATTTCAATAGTCGTATGACTTTTATATACTATTTCAGATTATAGCAATTCTGCCAAGCCTTAATCCGTTATACTAGAATGAATATTCAATTCTCCTATCTTTGAATATTATTTTACTTTAGAGCCATCCTACAGGCATACAAAGACTTTGCGTCTTTCCCATCATGCCAATGAAATCTCAGAGCCGTTCATTCCTTTTTGACATTGGGTTATTAATACTTAGTCACCAGCTTGATGTTTTATAATGAACAATGGATGGAATGGATTGCCTCCATTGGCGGCGTGGGGATCTTCTTATTATTAATTAATGAAAAACATGCAGACCAACATGAAGAAATATATGTGATCGCAGGCAGTTGTTACATAACTATTATATCTAAAAGCGGAGATACCTGCTACGAAAGAGAACAATGGAAAGCTAGTTATTTCTTTATCAACTATGGCAAGAATGGCCACAATTATATATCCACACACTTGACAACGCATCTGATTTACTTTATTCCTTGAGAGTCATCGGCATGTGTCCAGCTCATCTGACGACGATGGCGCGTGACCAATGGCTGGCCGTACTACCCCTAACAGCCACGCATGGAGAAGCGGAAAGGTCTTACCCACAGGCGACTGCTGCACCCTCTCGAGTAAATGGCCTGAGAAGAAGACCCATCACCTCCAACTCCTTTCCCGTTGTTTTGTTGTTCCCAAGCGTGAAACCGTCTTCCCATCTTTCTCCCTTTAATGCCTGTCTCACCAGTGAAAGGAAAGGAAGGCGTACAGGTAGATTGATCGAGAGATGGACTAGACAGATACACGTGTTTTGTATATGTAGATAGATAGCGAGAGAGAGAGAGAGAGGACGCTGTACTGGAGGAGAAAACATGAATGCTTCCCTCGTGGACTGATGACAATGTCAGGGTTGAAAGATGGCGGTGCAGTCACTGAAGCAGATTACGGGGGGGGTGTAAGGCTTGAATTCCCTACGCAGCTTTCTGCCATGAAGATCGAGAGGCAAATGAAAACTGGGGTCAAAAAAGAGTGGTCGCAGGGCAAAGGGTCCTCGGCCTTGTTCCGGCACCTGACAACTCCTCGTGCAGTCTAGAAGTGCGTGCAGATTTGTGAAGATGGGCCCCCCTCCTTCCACGAAAGAACAAGAGATAAAGAGAGAGAGAGAGAGAGAGAGAGAGAGAGAGAGAGAGCGGGAGCAGAGTGTCACCCTACGAACCTATGATTTCTTTCTCCAGTGACGACGTGGGCACTTTTCCTTTCTCTTTTCTTTTGTAGTAACGAGGAGGAAAAAGACGAAGGTGGGGAGATGAAAGGCTCCCTTAGTTTGGAAGAGTTTGTACATACCGAGGAGTTTTGACTATCTGAATCGATTCGAGACCTTCAAAGTTCCCTTCACTTTCTCGGCACTTGATGTGTCTCTCCGTATCCCTCCTTCATCAGGCGAGATTGTTTGTCTTCTTCAGATTATACGGGTCGTCCTGGACAGTGTTACAGACCATATGATGGTTCCTTTGAATACCTGTCAAGATGGCATGTCCATAGATCGTCGATTGCTTCACTGCGGAGAGCCTTAACCCTTGGAACGGAGGATGACTCCTGCCATAGTGGATGGAGAGGATTGCCGATCGAAGTTTCGTGCGCTCGTGAGAAGATTTTGGCGATGTAATACCAGTGAAACCTAAGAAGTTACACATCTCATAGTTGTGTGAGTATGACGTTCGATCTTATTTGAAAATGTATTCGGTTGTTATAGACACCCCTGCAATCTAAAATGCATTAAAATGTGGTGAGTCATCGACCATTAAAATGCACCCCTCTTACGTTTATTCAACTATGAGAAAATATTATTTCAAAAAATAACAAAGCACTTAAAAAGACAAATAACAAAACCGCGTTTTGTGTCCCTTTTATGGCCGTTTATCTCAACATCTCCCTTTACATAAAAGAGTGTATATGAGCTAAGTAAACTAAGGAGATATCTGTCTGTCATAGTCCTAAACCCAAACACTATTATTCGATAGTTCACGTAAACATTTCGGTCATATTCTTAATTATTTAGGTGAGATATCATGTTGATTTATGATTATATAGGAATACTGTAAATAATGTAGGCACTACAAACTCTACATTTATGTATGCATTTACAAGACAGATTCTCATTCTTGCTTGGCATGTTCACAGGATTTGGGCATTTTCCCCTTAAAAATCAATTACAATAACCTTCATTCCCCTAAAAGGATCTAAAATTCAATGAACAGAAGAATCTAATAAATCCGGGCTGAAGCCTATCCCCCTAAACTACTCGATACCAGAAAAAGATCTCAATAAAACATATAATAAAAAGTGAAAATAAGGAGGTTCATTTAAGTCCCTTATCTAACGTACTCCAACCTGATGCCTAGCGACTCACCCATTAAAACCCTGGTCTTAAAATCTTATTTTTAACTTTATATTACATAGAATTAGCTACAGCCTCCTAACACCTTTAGAGTAATGGAGGTCATTAAATTATGAACAAGACCGCGAGAATAAGCTGAGTTAGCGAGGATGAAGACGAATGAGAGTAGAAGAGAGGATACTTCACGTGAAGAGTAGTAGGTGGACTAGGGTATCTCTAGCTGCCTTATTTCTTTTGTACGCTCCTTCTGGATATCTGAGTCAGAGAGACCCCCCAACCTGGAGAAGAGGGTTGGCCCACTGTTGCGAACCGTGCGGCTTTTTGACGGTGGATGCCCATTTACGGAGCCACAATATCTTCCTGCTTCTGTGACCAAGACTTACGCTCTCCGTAGCATTAGGGGAATCCCCAGAAAAAAAAAAAAAATGGGGTAAAAAAACAAGATAGAATGAAGATTTTCACAGGAGGGTCCAAAGATCTAGCCGGGGCAATGATTTTCATCTTGTCAAATATGTTTTCGGTGAACGTAGCATTTCTCAAATAATTTTCTATTCACCTTCCGCCCTCCCTCCTAACTGTCAGGTGACTGATTCCCATTACCACAAGTATATTGATACACCCTCTTCACGGCTCCAGATTTAACTTAGCGTCATCCGTTTCCTTTTCGAAGGTTTGGTTGGAAAATGTTGAAGTCTGTCAACACCTACGGAAGTCCCTAGATCCTGACCTAGGAGGATTTCAATAGCTGTGCCTCTTTTAAGGTTTTGCTTCGCTAACCTCTCCCTATGACAATCTGCCAGAACCACTGTCTTTTCCCTCCGGCCTAGACGTTACCCTCGTGTGCTAATAAATACGGAGGGAGAGGAAGACAGCAGAGGCCTCATCCGACTACCAATACAGGCATCCACGAAAGGGACTCTCTGCCATGGCGCCGGCAATCCTCCCTATCCTCTGGGTCACCCTAGGGGGGCTCTTCGTCATCGGGGGTCTACTTTTCACACACCTCCTTCCTTCTCTTTTACACTCCAAGCTCCTTCCCTTGGGAAGCTTCGGGTGGCCCTTGCTCGGGGAGACAATGAGATTCTTGCAACCTCACTCGTCAGCTGCTCTCGGAAGTTTTCTTCAGGACCACTGTTCTAGGTGAGTGTCTCTCTTCTCACCATCTAATCATCTTGCAAAGTATCCTCGAACAATCTAACCCTCATCTGCTCTGGGCATGGTGCAGGTACGGGAAGGTATTCAAGTCCCACCTCTTTCTCTCTCCCACCATTGTCTCCTGTGACCCAGAACTCAACAACTTCATACTCCAGAACGAGGACAGGTATTTCCAGGGTAGCTATCCGAAGCCTGTCCATGGTGTTCTGGGGAAGAACTCCCTGCTGGTGGTCGTGGGAGAAACCCACAAACGCCTGAGGACGATGGCCCTAGCGCTGGTCAACGCCACCAAAGCAAATCCCGGGTACATCAACGACATAGAAACGATGGCAACATACGTCATGACGCGCTGGAAGGGCAAGGAGGAAGTCTACTTCTGCGATGAGGCCAGGAAGGTTCGTATGAGCGAATAGTTAATGCCCATAATCTAAAGTTTCACCTTCAACGCATCTCACCATGTTTCTCTTTCTCTCTCTCTCTCTCTCTCTCTCTCTCTCACGCCGCAGTTCACATTCAGTGTAATAGTGAAGCAGGTGCTGGGGCTCTCCCCAGATGACACAACAACTGCTGTCATTCTTCGCGACTTTAGAACTTTCATGAACGGACTCATCTCTTTTCCTCTATACATTCCGGGTCTTCCATACGCCAGGGCTGTTCAGGTCACTCCCTTCTTTTCCTCCCTCCCTCCCTTCTCTCCATCCCCACTCTCCCTCCTCTCAAGGTGGTAGCCTTTTTCACTTTCTCTCCACCAGAGAAACCTTTTACACCGTTTCTTTTGGCCACCCGGTCTCCTTACAGGCTAGAACTAGAATAGCTTCTGCTGTGAAAGACATATTAGAAGAAAGAGCGAGAAGTATGGGAGCCAGCCCCTGCAACGGGGGCCAAGACTTCCTCGATGTGCTCCTCTCAGTTGGCAACTTATCTGACGAAGAAAAGGTGAGCTTCGTGATGGATTCTCTTCTAGGTGGATATGAAACCACCACCCTCTTACTGGCTATGGCAGTGCACTTCCTTGGGCAGTGCCCTGCCGCGCTAGACCAGCTCTTGGTAAGCCTAAACCCCCTTCTCTGTCCTCTCCAGACACACGTGATGTCCCCACCTCTCCTTCTAAAAAGACTTATTTTTCGCAGTCGGAGCATCGGAATATCAGAGACGACAGAGACGAGAACCAGCCTCTGTCCTGGGACGACTATAAGAAGATGGAGTTCACTCAAAATGTGAATTGTTGCCCCCCCGTCCCGCCTCTCTCTTTTCATTCGGCTTGCGTTGTATATAGCAACTGCATATTCTTCCTTACGATGGGATTTGTTTTCGCAGGTGATTAACGAGTCTCTCAGGTGTGGAAACATCGTCAAGTTCGTCCATCGAAAGGCTCTCATAGATGTCAGATTCAAAGGTATTCCCCCGCAAAGTTGTGTTTCGAAGTTCTCAACTCTATTTCCAAACTGCTGCGGTTTAGATGGTACGTTCACCATTTTCTGATGAACATGTTACACTACTAAAGACGAAGTTTGCTTTCTGGCAGATTACCTGATTCCGTCGGGCTGGAAGGTTCTACCGGTGCTTTCCGCAGTACATCTTGACCCATCCCTTCATGGAGATCCCTCAACCTTCAATCCGTGGAGATGGGAGGTAATCAGCTGACTCACTCCCCAACTCCCGAAAGTGAAGTATTCCAAAGAACGAAAGAATGCTATCAGAAAGATGATCTGAAGTCAATATTCTTGACTGTTCACTGGTACCATACTAATTTCTAATGACTGTCACCACTTTCCGTCGTCGGAAACGAAGTATATCAGCTAAAGTGCGAACTAAATTTCATTTACCCGAAAAAGCAAGGACGCAACTTTTTCCTCCGAGTTCTCTGCAGCGAGTCCTGCAGGCTTTTCCTTCAATCGCCTGACCCCGTGGTCATTTTTCGTGGACTATCAGGGCCAAAACCAAACAGCATCCAAGAAGTTCACCCCTTTTGGGGGAGGCACGAGACTGTGCCCGGGATCTGAGCTCGCCAAAGTAGAAACGGCCGTTTTCCTCCATCACTTTCTCCTCAATTTCAGGTAAAAAAAGAAAGAAGAGATCAAAACTGGTACTTACTTTGCCAGCGGGCTCACCTTCTCCATTAGGACGCTAGCGGGCCTTGAACCGATTTTCACGGTCTGAAGGAAAATCCTGACGAAGACCGGGACCCGGATCGGATCTTGAGAAATCCTGACCACCGTGCAAGGGTTCTAGGGCTCGCATCTGATCTCGTCTCCTCATTCCGTTCCTCTTTATGCATAGGTGGAGACCTGCGGCGGAAGATGTCCCCATTGCTTACCCGTACGTGGAATTCCCCGGAGGATTGCCGCTGAAAGTCGAACCGATAGACGGGGAATAGTATCTTTGTATATTTACGGCCAAACAAATCCCGGGCACCCCTGTACTCTGTATATTTACTTGGTGCAGATGCGTTGTGTTCTTTTCGTCTGGTAGTGTGAAGTCCATTGTCTCACTCGCCGATGTTCCCTCCCTGCCTCGTCTTCCCCTGGACACTAACACCTGCTCGGAAACGTACTACGCGATACGGAATCAACTCGTGGGGTTACAAGCGAGAAGCGATGCAGCTCTGCGTGGTTGGGAACTGTCAAATCAGTTTTCGGACTGGATTGATTCCATTAGGCAACAATGCGACCGTCGTTGAAGAAATATACCCCATCCATCCCATTTGAGACATCAACTTATATCACCTCACTTGAATGAGATATTCATTAAGCAAGGATATGATGTCTGATTGTTATCTTCGAATATTTAAAGGAAATATGAAGTCAACTTGAATTTTCGTACTAGGGTCCAATTTGGAGCTGGTATTTCTGTAACTATTTAAGATAAACTGGTTCAGTCAATAAGTTTATTCGACCAAGAGAAGTAGCATAAATGAAGAATGGTATATGTTGTTGACGGAAGAAATTTGTACGTACCATTGACAGAGTACGGGGAAAAGCACGCGATTTGTGTACTCACGGCATTATTCGAAGTGGCGATAGCGAGGTCCAGAGGAACACGAGATACTTGTCTATCTCTAGTTTAATGTGTCTCTTGAGGACCAAAATATAGACATAGAATAACGAACTACCCGCCATTTGAGTGGAGTGTTTGACCTTTCCATGGGACGGAAAAAAAGTGATTACCAAGAAATTCAACATTATCCTGGCAATTCCTTCTGCATTCTCTCATTTATTTTTAACTTGCTCCATATAGTTCTTAGAGCGTATACTAACATCTTTTACAATCTAATGCCACAGTTTTTTGGTAAGGGCATCTCCAAGGTCATTATTACTTGGCTTCAGAAACATCTTCTTGATTCGCTTGCTCTCAACCTGTTCTTGTATGAATGACAGATAACTGAATATACTCCCCGCCTGGTATGGAAGTATCATCTTCCTTCATTATCATTGCGGACATGTCATAGCCAAATGATATTGTTGGCGAGTGCTCACCATGTAATATATCAGAAAAAAAAATCTTATGAACCATATAGTTCCGCTTGCTGCATTGTTGTTTGACATTCTCTCTTCTTTCTCAACATTGCACAATCGTATCGTACTTTCGGCATGTTTTAATCCTATACAAAAGAAAATGTTAAATTCTCTCGCTACCATTAGCTTCATTCTATCAATCACCATCAAAGCAAAAAAAATCCCTTTTTTCTTTGATGCTTAATTTACCACATATAACAATATTTTCATCTTCAAAAGCAAGGTTCCTTGGCATATTAATAAACTTATACTGTACTAGTTTAATCTGTAATCTCAAAGATTGGAATTAAGAGAAATATCAAAGATTTAACCAAGCTTTTCTAAAGTAGCGCGCCTCCCCTTTTAGCGGCATCACACATGCAGTCCGATGCCATCAAATGAGTATATAAATTATTTTGAAAAGTTCAGAAACATCTCTTTTATCAATATTCAATGCGTAAGTTTTTTAATGACGTTATCAAAATAAATATCATTAGGCGACCTCAACTCTTCCCACTATTCTGTAATTTTATTTATTCAAATTGGTACAATTATCTTCATAAAATATAATTGAGCATCCTTTTCACGTTACTATTATCTCGCTTAGTACTCGCAGCAATTAATCTCTTTCATAAGTTTAAGTTACTTAGCTTTACTCTTGACTTCTTGCTCTCTCCACCTTTAACCAAACTACCGTGTCTTCCACAATACAAGTGTGGCGTGCATTATTCAAATGACACCTCTTTTTGGCGGAACTAATAACGCGCGGATAATAGGAATGATCGTCCTCATTATTTTCAGTTAATTTTAGAACAATCAATTTTTGAGTAATTATTGATACTTCACTTCAGTTAATGCCACAACCCTACATCAAGTTTCTCTTCTATTCTTTAGAGTATTTTTCTTCTGATATAAAATCCTTCGTCACACACTTGTGTCTCATTTCTTTGGAAATATTTTGATTGAAATTCACTTGTTTACCATGTCCTTCATGGAAACTCAAGAATCCTTCTACCACAATGATGAAATAACCAAACTTGACAGCGAACACATTAATACTTTCTTTAAAAAATATATTATACTGATTATGGTTCCCAAAGCTTCTATTATTATAAATTAATATTTTAAAAAAGTTATTATCCATGAGAAGTTCGATTCAATGGGAATCAGCTCCTTTAGCTTGAAATTCTCTTCAGTATGCTCGATCCTTAGTGAAATTCTCGACCATGTTTATCTGAACGTGGTTTTTGACTTGGTACAAGCTTTGAATATCAATGAAAGCTCTTACATATTTTCTTTACATCCTCTTGTTTATGACCCATTGCAAAGACATCACGATGACTCCTTAAATAGATGAAGATATAACACATGCGCAACTGTTATAAGTCTTATCCCTCTCACTTATTTGTCTTACCCTCCCTCAGCTTCGTCTATTGAAAGGGGAGGGTTGTTGAGTAGTGAAACGACTGATGGCGTGAAGAAGTTGGGCCTCGTGAGAAAAGAGCGTAGGGTTCCACTTCTCCCATTTTGGTATTTTTCCTTTCTACTTGATGAGGAGGACATTCGGCATGAAGTCAAGGAAAATGATTGAGATATCTTGTAAGGCTCCCTTTTTATTTATTCTTCTGTGAATAAAATACATCTAGCTTTCTCAATAGACCTAGGAGGATGTATCCGAGCTACATGAATCTGGGTGTATCAGTTCTTAGTTCTTTCTCATCAGTTTTCAATCTTGTCATATTTTTTATCTTCTCTTTGATATTTTGGACACAAATGTACTTAAGCGGGGTGGTATAGTTGAAATCCATCTTCTGTTGTTGATATTTGTACCAAATTTTGTTCTAATTTGCGACACTTGTTCTTCGTCTTTGTCTTCGTCTTCTTGGATTAACATTCCCCCCCACAACTTGTCTTCTACATTCTATCAACTCATTTCTTGTCTTGAATGATATCTCCATAACCACTTTGCTTACTAACACGTTCATATGTAGATTTTTTTCAAAAACTATCTACAATGATTTGTGTTTGACCTAAGTGGCCTTTCTCAAGTCTTAAAACTATTTATTTAGTATATCAAGTGCATCATTTCTTGTCATTATATCAGGAGAAATTGATTTACTTACCCAAAGTTGAGTATCTGGTAGAGCTCTTGAATCTACCCCTTTGATCTTGTCATACTCCTTTGTTTGGTTGCTTATATGATGCCATAGTCAATGAATCTTCAAGCTCAAAAATCTCTTCAGCTGATCCTTTTGTTTGAGCTTGCAAAGCCTCATGCCCCAAAATCGCATGTATGAGATGTCAACTTACCCTTATATGGAACCCATAAAGAAAGGAATCCAAGCAGTTCTCAACTCATCCCATGTTTGTTCAAGTGTTTTGACGTTGACAAATAATAATAAAAGAGAAAAATTGATCAGAAATATATTCTTGTTACCCAAATGCTTTGAAGAAGATCTAAATTGCTAGATATGATCCATTTGTTGTTTGACCACATTTTTCAGGCATAAAATAATAGAAAATATAATCAAGGAAGGCAGTTGAAAATGGAAGAAATTAAATTTTATTTTAGTAGGCGCGCGGAGCACCCGTACTAACTAATCCTTTGGCCCAAAGAGGATTGACCAACGACGAAACGACAAGAACCCGGTCAACATGAGAAAATGACATTTCTCTGGTACTGAAGTCAACGCCAGGACGGCGCACGCTTGTTCGTTCGGAATTTCTTGCCCGCCCTCTCATGAGGCTCGCTCCGACTTTCGCGCATTACTTTTGGCGTACGTCCGAAAGAAAGCTATGTTCCGGCGCCACTCGGACAGCTGTGGCTAAGCTGGTCTGTAGCTGCACAGCTCTCTCCCCCTCTCTCTCTCTCTTTCTCTCTCCCGCTCTCTCTCCCGCTCTCTCTCCCGCTCTCTCTCCCCCCTCTCTCTCCCGCTCTCTCTCCCCCCTCTCTCTCCCCTCTCTCTCTCTCTTTCTCTCTCCCCCTCTCTCTCCCCCCTCTCTCTCCCCTCTCTCTCTCTCCCCCTCTCTCTCTCCTCTCTCTCTATCTCTCTCTCTCTGTGAAGATCAGGGAAGTCAAGACATTTATTTTAATTCTTAAAAGGAAGATCTGCCCAACTCGCACGCCTCGTACCCGACAAAAAGGGTTGCCACCGCTTCCGAACCCAACCGGAGGATCTCTGATCAGGGAGGTTTTCTTCCATTTCTCTGCTGCCGGGGGAGCGGAGGCGATGTCGTACGCCTACCTCTTCAAGTACATCATCATTGGGGACACGGGTGAGCGTCTACGTCTCCTTCCGCCCTCGTCGACAGCGACCGACGAGCTTGCCGGCGGACCGCGATCCCTCTCTCTAACATTCGGGATGCCCCTTCGCGTCGTGAGATTTCGACTTGTTTGCCGTTTCGGCGGTGGGAATTTCCGATGGGCCTCTCTCGTTTCCGCGGTGGATCGTTCGGAGCGGTCGCGATTTCACCGGAAATCGCCTCCGCGTCTCCCGATGTGCTTGTCTTCTCTCCAATTGATTCCCCTGGCTACAATTGCTTATTCCGCAATGCCGCAAGCTTAAATCCACCGTTCTTCTTCGCTTGACGCGGCCATTTATCTCAGTTCGACAAGGATCTGGTGTTTTACGAGGCAAAGTCTCGTACATTTGCCGCTCTCCTTGTCCCCTTCTTCAATGCTATCACATGATGCGTATCATTTTGGTTCCCCAGGAGTAGGGAAATCTTGCCTTCTCCTGCAATTCACAGACAAGCGCTTCCAGCCCGTGCATGATTTAACAATCGGTGTGGAGTTTGGGGCCAGGATGATCACAATTGATAACAAACCTATCAAGCTGCAGATATGGGACACGGTTAGTAATATGCTGATTGGAGTGAAAAAAATTCAATAATTTTATTTTTTTTTTAAAAAAATTCTTCTTATGAACCCTATTCCCTTTTGCCCTATCATGATTTTCTTGCGTCCTTCTCCGTGGAGCTATTTTCGATGTAGTCATATTTTTTCAGAAAATCTCGTTCTCTGTGCATTCAATCTGATCCATATGAGCAAACATTCAGATTTTTTTTCTTTGGCGTTAAGCTCTCTGGAGTTTTGGTTGCCTCCTACTGAGGATAGTATTGTTTAGAGGCAGATCTGAATGGTCAAAAGATTATGGACAACATTCGTTGACTTTTCAAGCTTCAACTCATTTGCGCAATGTGGGATTAGATTATGAACACTGTGATCGCCAAAAGAAGAAAAATTAATGAGAAAGATCAAAATGGTAAAGAGGAAAACGTCGCATTTTTCTTTTTGTGTTTGGATAATAACAAGGTGGTAAATCATTGATGAATGAAGCCTGAGAATATGAGAAATCAGTGATGAGAAGAACAACATACATACATATTTCAATATCTTATTGTACTGGAAGAACAGTTTTTCAGTATTTGGAACTGGTTCAAGGAGAAATTTTAATGTAGGGAAAGAGAATATGATGAAGACCATGATAAGAAATACTGTTTGTAACACAAGTTACTGCATTAGTCAGTTCTGCTGGGACCATGAGGGATGTAGCATAACATTCATTACTAAATATGCTATGAGATTTCTTCCTAATACAAGATTTGTGATCGAATATTCATCTGATATCAATACGTAGATTGGTCTGAAAATCCACGGTTTACATCCAGATGGTAATGAGCAGAAGTGAGTTATTCATAAAATCTTCTGCTATGGGTCACTGGGTCAGGCGCATGAAGAAATCAATCTTTTCTTAATCCCTGGAAGAACTTTATTGAATGGCTGCAATGCTTGTGGGAAGCCAGCCCCATAATCCCCATGTTGGTCAATGGATTGTGATCAGTGGACCTCAGATAGCAAGAAGACATTTGGGCATTGTGAAGATCAGAACAGCAGACATTAGTTTTTTTTTTTTTTTTTTTTTTTTTCCTGTTGCTCCAAGATAGTGGGAGGCTTTCCTTTCTTAGCATTCCAAAATAGTCAAACATCTTTTAGTTGAATTTCCTTTTTAGGTAATTAGTTTGAGGCAGTTCCTATCTCCACTCAGGAATTCCCCTGTTTTCTTGCTGGTTGCTGCTCGAACAAAGCTCTGTGAATGTTGCTTTATTTGGCCAATTAGATAGATACCAGCAGGTAAGAAAAATATGCGGTATTTTCCCAATATAAATATAAAACCCTTGTTTTCTTTCAGATGATTATTCTGACAGCTGGGTACGTGGATTCTGAAATGGGTTTTGGGTGTTCATCATCTCACAGGCCGGCCAGGAATCCTTTCGATCCATTACTCGATCTTATTATCGAGGGGCTGCGGGCGGTCTCCTTGTCTACGATATAACCAGGTGGACGTCTTCACCTCGCCTACATTCAGCTCATCTTTCTCTGGTTTTGGGAAAATTCTCAGTGTTAGAGCTATCAGATCACCCCATATTGATCACAGGTTTATTTCTATGATATAGTGAATAATAATGACCGATTTTTCTGGGATCAATATGAAACATCCAACCATCTGTATAATAATCACCTACATTATTCAGCTAATCTTTTTCTGGTTTTGGGAAATTTCTCAGTGTTAAAGTTATCAGATGAACCCATATTGATCACTGAGTTTATTTCTATGATATAATGATTAATAATCACCGATTTTTCTGGGATTATCCTCAATATTTTGATCCTCTGGAGGGAAACATCCAACCATCTCTTATAATAATCACCTGCATGCAGCTCATCTTTTTCTGGTTTTGGGAAATTTCTCAGCGGAAGAATTATCCGATCATCCATATTAATCACTCGTTTATTTCTATAATAATCAATAATAATCAGCGATTTATGTGGGCTTATTCTCATTATTTTGATTCTCAGGAGGGAAACATCCAACCATCTCTTATAATTATCACCTACATGCAGCTCATCAACCTCTGGTTTTGGGAAAATTTTCAATGTTAGAATTATCGGATCATCCGTGTTAATCACTGTTTTATTTCTATAATAATGAATAAGAATTACAGATTTATGTGAGATTATTCCCAATATTTTGATTCTCAGGAGGAAAACATTCAACCATCTGTATAATAATCACATGCATGAAGCTCATCTTTCTCTGGTTTTGGGAAATCCATCCATCGAGCTTACCGGTTTTTTTTTTCTATAATAATGAAAAATGATGACATATTTATGAGGGGAATATTCTCAATATTTTGATTCTCAGGAGGGAAACATTCAACCACCTCGCGAGCTGGCTGGAAGATGCAAGGCAGCATGCAAACGCCAACATGACGATCATGCTGATAGGAAACAAATGTGATCTTGCCCACAGGAGGGCGGTCAGCACTGAGGAAGGGGAGCAGTTCGCCAAGGAGAATGGATTGATCTTCATGGAGGCCTCTGCAAAGACGGCCCAGAATGTCGAGGAGGCAAGAAGTCCTTCTTTTCTTTTCTTTTCTTTTCTTTTCTTTTTTTTTCTTTTTTTGTTTCTAGTTTCATATTTCTGAGGTGTTCTTCGATCATTCACAGGCATTCATTAAGACAGCCGCCACGATCTACAAGAAAATCCAGGAGGGAGTCTTCGACATATCTAATGAGGTCAGTCTCTTGCCCATTGTTCTTCCCAAGGAGCCAGAAAAATGGGAATGATCACAGAGAAGAAACCATTCAGGAATCTAGATAGTGAAAAAGAAATCATAAGATACTGTTAAAAAAATGCAGAAATATGAACATTTAGTGTTTGGGGGAGAAAGATACTGAAAACAGTAATGATTGAAGAAATCAAATCATTCAAGAATCAACCAAAGAGGCAAAACAGGGACGAGGAAGACAAAAAGGAGTGATCAGATAAAATCATGTAAAGAACCCCTTGTTACCTTGTTCTTAGTAGCAATCAATAGATGAAGGTTGATCTTCAATCTGCTGCTACGGCTGCTGCTGCTGCTGCTGATGATGATGATGATGATGATGATTTTTCTTTGCCCTGATTGTTCTCAGTCTTTCGGGATCAAAGTTGGGTACGGTGGAGTGCCTGGCCCAACCAATGGCACCGGCAGCTCCTCTCAAACCAGCAGCTGCTGCAGCTGAGATGAACAGAACAGAGCTCCCATCACAGAGTCAGCACCACCCTTCCAATGGCTGCGTCCTCCCATGCCCTTTTTTTTTCTCTTTTATTTCTTGCTAAATGGGACAAATAAATACGCCATTGAGTCTATTTCTCTATCACATGCTTTTCTGCATGTCGTATATATTGTAAAATCCCTGAGATTATCGCCGACTGAGTTGGGCTACTAGTTTGAATGATTTATTCCTGCAGTATGGTCTTCGAAACATCTCAAGAATAATTATTTCTCAAGAACATTCTCTCAACTAGTTTGGGAATTAAAGATGAAATTGATTGTTCTAGGAGATGCTGAAAACATATCCGGAAGCTTTTCATGAACAAACATGGCATATCATTGAGGATACCGATATTTTTTGTGCATTTTATTATCACCCAAAGGATCATTCCCCTAGGGGGAAATCCTGCTCCACTGCAGGGGATGCGAGAGCCCAGGGGACATGGAGCCTCTTCCATGGTGTCGCAAGACAAATAGATGGAGATGAACAGAGCCGGTGTTCACTATTTTCTTCATCTCGTTGGGAATTCGTATTTTCTTCACAGAAAGGAATAACAAAATGAGGGGAAAATGGGGGAGGAATCGGCATGGAACGACAGATCGTTCTCCGAATTGGCCTCGTCCATCCCACCAACTCCCACAACAGAATCGCAAACTACCTAAAGATCGAGCCGGAGAGGGGTCTGCTAACCTCACCAGCACTGGTCGGTCTCCCACCGGCGGGTCCTCGGCCAGGAACCGCCGGTAAATCTAAACCGCATGATGGAGCGATCATACTCCACCCTGGCGGCTGCGTCGGAGAGCGTCTCGTAGGCCCGGTGGATCTCGATGAAGTCGTCCCCCGATCCCGATCTACAGATCGAGAGGTCACCGGCGGCGGCCTCGGCGGAGGAGACGGCGTCGGGATGGAAGCGCTTGGCGAGGGCGCGGTAGGCGCCTTTGATCTCCGCGGCGGATGCGGTCTCCTTGATCCGAAGGACCTCATACAGGCTCCGGGACATCGCCGGAGCGACGGCACCAGCGGGGGAGGCACCGGCGAAGGCCAGGGTCCGCAGCGGCGGACGGGTGGCGGTGTTTCTGACGGCGGCGGGCCGAAGGCCGGCGGCGGCGGCGGAGAGGGTGTTCAAAGCTAGGGTTACGGTCATTGGGTTTTTTTCGCATGTGTTTGCTCTCCAATGCCATGGAAGGGCGACCTTTCTTATAGAGAACCAAGTCGGTGGGCGCTCCTTCAAAAACCAGCTCCTCCTAACTACCTATCCACCTTATCTGTACGTATCAAAATACACGATAACTCATCCTTTTCCAACAGAAGATGAACACGTAACATACGCTCTCTCGGATTGGTCACTGATTGAGCCAAGCAGAGCGGAGGTTCCCTTCTAGAACGCCCTTCTAGAATCTCGCGGGCTACCTTACACGGCCGCTTGTACTCTAAAAACCGTCGGCCGCCGGAGTCGATGGGCTTGGACAGGTCCAATCAATCGCCACGTGTAGAACCTTCTATTAACATCCAGGCAGTCGACACGTGCACCAATGGCGGCCAACCCGCGTTCAAGACGCTAGGACAGAGAAACCTAGCGAGAGAGAGAGAGGGTTCTCTGAAAACCGAGAAGACCATATTCAATTGAGCTTCCAAGTAGTCAACGCAAAAAAAAAGAAAAATGAGGGGTAGAGAGGGCATTACCCACCACCGGCCGCGGCCACGCCCTCGCCCAATCGCCCTCCCTGGTTCGCACCAACGAGCGGATCAGAAATGGGCAGAAGATAGAGAGAGAGAGAGAGAGAGAGAGGACCTGCTGTGGGCTTCTTGGGTTTGACCCTCGGAGTCTTCTCAACCAGCAGTGTCTCGAGGTTCAGGCTGTCGGAAAGAATGTAGTACCGGATGTTGTTGCCTCTCTCACTGAGATGATCCAGACTCACCGGGTTCTTCCCCTTCAGCGTGAGCTTCACCGTTTTCAGGTACGTGTTCATGCTGTTGTCAACGCCTGGGAGCAAGCAACAATCTCTTCTCATTGAAGTCAACCCCTGTGATTTCTACTTCGAATATCCACATCAACATATAACATAAGCACTATAATCAAATCGTTAATTGCAGTTGTGATGTTTCTATGTTCACAGGAAAAGATACCAGACCATGCCACACGGCCATGGCAAATAGGAGCATCTCTCTCTCTCTCTCTCTCTCTCTCTGTCTTTCACACACACACACACACACAGCAGAAGACTTGCCAATGCAGCTCCCTTCCTCCCATCTTTGAAACTGATCAAGCAGAAAGTCAACCACAGTCTGAAACTTGACAGCCATTGTGCGGCCAAGCATGCTCTCAGTTGACCCAAAAGCGACTGTGTAGAAATCTTGGTTGACCCAAGCAACAGCCAAGGACTAAAAAGAGTGTAATCAATAACCAACGGCAGTCAACTCCAAAGCAAAGAAGAGAAACAGATGAATTGAGAACCTCTCCTCAGAAGATTAGGCACAGCATCATCCACCCCACGACCAAAATCTGCTCCTGAGAGGGAAATTATGTCCACAGCTACCCACCCCAGCTCCACGGGGAACTTGGTTAAAAGTCAAATCATTACATGAACTTCATGGATATGATCACAAGAGGGACCAACTCCGTTTCTGGTCATAAAGCACGAGGATTACAGGTAGAAAGTCTCATAGGTCAGCTCAATCTAGCATTCCAGGGAAATTCCGGCGCTGAATATATATCCTCTATGAGATCAGAAAGCGTTTTTGTCAACTGAGGATACACAGGGCTCATATCCGCTCTAGAGCAATCCGTCACAGCCCAGAATGGTCATCATGAGATGATGAAAAGTCAACCTCTGCCTAGCTCTCTTTGTCTGAAAACCTTGGATGGAGAATTGGGAGAGGAATAGCTGAAGAAAGAAGCCATGATTGGGCTGACTTTTTTTCCCTGTAACATAGGCCGGAGGAAGAAGATGATGCTGATTAACGAAGCCCTGAACTCGCTCAAGGATCCAGAATGGCGTTATCACCACTAATTGCAGCCGAAACCACGCTGAACGAGGCACCGGGCACTTGTGATGAACGTGTAAAACCTGATGATCAGTCTAATTTGCAAGCCATGAGGAAATCAGAAAGTCAAAGATATAGAAAATTCAGCAGGAGATCTTGGAGCTGACTATGAATAGCTTTCTATGAAAAGTAGCGAAACCTAGGGAAGACTTGATGATAATTCTCACTACCAGGATTTGACCTCCAGCGGAAGTGAAGCCCAGAAAGCCAGAGACGCGCATGGGAGCTCAAGCATGTATCAGAACCTTGCGTGGCTCTGATAGAAAAACATAGAAATAACAAGGCGCAAATAGTTTATTTCTCTGTAGGCTGACGGCCCCGCTGACATTCTGAGGAAGAAGGGAAAGCTAAGCTCTACACCGATTCCTCAGAACCAAAGCCCCGAGATCATCCAAAACATCCACAGCCATGAACAGATCCAATCACAAGGGAGGAGTCTGCTGAAACCTATGATGGTTCCGTGGACGAGGGCGCCATTCCCTCTCTCTCTCTCTCTCTCTCTCTCTCTCTCTCTCTCTCTCTCTCTCTCATTCTCATTTTCAAATGCATAGTAACATGACATTTCTTATGCATTCGAAATCTGCTCCATGCATATTTTTGAAGAGTTGACACTCCTTGAACGAAATTTTTTTCATGTTTGTATTAAGGTAATTATGATATTCTAGTTGACAGAACCATTAATTTATAGATTCATGAACCTTGACGAGAGAAGACAGGTGTTTCTTTATTTTCTGCCTATAGACATGAATCTAAAAGAGAGTATTGTTAATGTGTCATTTTCCTATGCTAAGCAGGATTAAATGAAAAGAAATATTACAGTACCTAAAGTCAAATTTAATGAATTAGAATCAAAAACATTATAACAAATTCAGAACATATTTCATATATTTTTATTTAAATTTTCATATTAGTCTTGAAGAAAATATGCTTTAGTCATTTGACCTACGACATAATACAAGATCAGAGACATGGACTTCATAAAAAATATTTTTTTATTTTATTTTTTCCTCTTTTTTTGCAGTTTAAAGCTCACTGGAGTCGACAGATTTTGTACAATTTGACAATGGGCCAGCAAGATTAAGTCCAAGACAAAGGCCCATTAAGTGGGGGTATAAAAGAGGAGAGAGAAGGAGAGAGAAAGAAGGGCCATGGATGGAGGTCCTAACAGCAATGGGGGTGGCTATGAGCTCCTCTCCTACATGACAAGTAGAGGTTGAACCAAGTACAGCAGTGGTAGTGGCAACAGCGATAATGGTGACTACTAGCTCTCCTCCTGCGTGATAGGCAGAGGTGGAGCCAAGCAGGTAGTGGTAGTGGTGTTCACGGTGGCAAGGGCGACATCTTGACCTTCTTCCTGCCAGCTACACCTAAGCTTATCATCCCAAGTGGCATATGTTGGTAATGGATATGCGGTGGAGATAGATCACTTACTTGCTGGTTTGAGTTTCTTTTAGTTATTTTCTTTAAACTCTTTTTTCTGTTACTGAAATAATACTTGGTATCTTGATTCCAACTCTAAAACATTGTTTGACAAGTCCAAATTATTTATTCTCGCTATTCCTCTTCTTTTTCTTTTCATCGACTAATAGTTAGGGACTAGAGAAAAACCAATTGCCCATAGTTTCTCTCCTTCCCCTAATGATTTACATAAAATATTTGGGGGCAAAAATATTTGAACCAAGACTAGTCTTAGTTCAGCTCTGGTCGTGAACTCTCTCATGGGAGATCAGAAGATCAGGGAGTGAGAGCTTTGTTCATCCATGGGTCTGGGTAGACTTCGCCGGTGTGTAAGGGGAAGGCTGTCGTGTAGTGGCATCATCGCGAAAGCTGTCTACAGCGGTCAATCATTGTCTCTCCCCTTCTCTTTTATTATTTTAGTAGTCAATTGTCGTCAATCCGTCACGGTCTACTGTTTATAAAAGCATCTCTACAGTGTAGTTCGATGTTCCACAAGCTCGTTTGTGGAAACGCCTGCTGAAGGTTACTCCCAAGATTGGCTGTACCTGGCAGAAAAGTATGCGCATACTTTTCTCAGAGGTGCTCTCTCTCTCTCTCTCTCGCTCTCTCTCCCCTCTCTCTTTCGCAGAAAATATGAGGAATATTGCAGAATTTCCTCAACGTTACTTGAATAGATTTGCCAAAAATACCTACTTATTCGAGAGGGGGAGAGAGACAAATAGATAGAGACAAAGAGGCGGAGAGAGACAGAGACAGAGAGATAGAGAGAGAGATAGACATAGAGACAGAGAGAGAGAGAGAGAGAGAGAGAGAGAGAGAGAGAGAGGGAGATGGGGTAAAGGTCAGGAAATTTTGTTTTCACGTACATGGGTATATCCGTCTCTTTATTTATATTGCAGCAGCCGAGTCTACAATTAGTAACATCATGACTCAATACCAAGACAACTAGTTCATTGTGATTTATGATTGAAGTGAAAAGAATAGGGATTTATCTGTAATTCTGGCAGTCTATGGAGAGCCATAACTAATTAATCATTTATGCGTGAATAGGAGTAATCTACATATTATTATTATTATGTCTTGATAAAATAATAGGATATGACCTTTTTTTGGATTTATTTTTATATTTAAAAAATACTGTAGCCCGTTGATGCGATGTGACGTCACTTGCTCCCATGCGTCGCAGTCCGGGGTCAACGACCTACTAGGAGTGTCGTCAAAAAGCTAGTAGCAGACTCCAAAAGTAAAGTGAACGTTGAACGGCGGAAATAAACTTTACGACTGATCGAAAGTAACCTCAATAAATGACAAAAAAAATGGAAATCTCTTTTACGAGGAAATAATCATTTTTTTCCCAATTTAACATTAGAAATCCTAAAATTTCTCTTTGATGCTTTTAATATGTAATTTTTGTTGACCATTTTGGAGATTTACAGCTTACACAAAACATGATTTTTTTTACCCAATTTTCTAATGTCAAGCTATGACTTAGTCAAGTCTTTCATGCGCATATTTCATTACCCAAAAAAGAAAAAAAAACCTAAGGCATATATTTTCTAAATTAAATTTTATTATAATTTCATCATTTTCCTTAAACTATTTCAATTGGGTTTTAATATAATGCCAAACTTTTATGATAATATTTATTATTATTAAAGGTGTGCTAAAGTCTGAATTATAAAATTATTATGAAAAAGTGGGTATGGACTTTTGGTGCATCAAGGAGCTGATGGGGAAATTCCCGCCAAAAAAGGAGGAAGGAAGACCCCGCCGTCCAAACTCATCCAAACAATCGGGAGCCTTGAACTGATCTAGTAACGAGAAGGAGCCCTCGCAGCTCCAAAGATGCTTGCTCGTGCGAGAGGGAAGGCACATGTCGGATCCGTACCGGTGTGTGACTGGACGTTAAGAAGATCCAGTGGCCTAAGAGGTCTTCGTTCCCAAAAATGTCAACCTTTTCTAGGAAAAAATAAGCGTCTTACCCCATTTAAATTCATATCGCACAAATATTTCTCTCGATGTCATTTTCCAGAAAATAATTCATTTCTACGAAAATTGCACAAAATTTCTCTCTCTCTCTCTCTCTCTCTCTCTCTCTCCCTCCCTCCCTCCCTCCCTCCCCTCGTCGACACTGGAACGAAGACTTGGTCAACGCATAAAACTTTTTACCGTGAGAACTAAGCTCAGCCGCTTACGCCAAAGTGCTTGCGTACAGGGTCCCTGGTGATCTGAAGGTTCCTCCGCCTCCACTGCAGCAGGGCCGTTGAATGCTTTATCCGCTTGGTAGGACCTTCCTGGCAGTGCAACCTGAAATTGCGAGGAATCGGCGGGGAGGACCGAGCAAGAAGACGACACCGCAAAATGGAAGTATAAGTGCTCTTCATCTGTTGCACCGACAAAATACCCAGAGCGAGTAAGAGAAAGAGAGAGCTAGAGAGACGGAGAGATGGTCCAGATCTTGGGATCTTATGAAGACGGCGGCACCGTCTTTCTCTTACTGGAAGTCGCCCTTCTCGCCGCCATGGTGATCGCGGCGGGGAACACTACCCTGGGCATTATCGCTTCCGTAGGTCGCCTCAGGGGAGTGTCGGCGGCGGCCCTGGTGGCGGCCGCCGTTTCGTTGGTGGCTGCGCACGTGATTCCCCGATTGTGGCTGGCGCTGGCGGTGGTGCTCCGGGCGCCGGTCGGAGTGGTGCTGGTGGCGGCGACGGCGGCTGTGGCCACGGTGACGCTGGTCTTCGCCGCCAGCCTCCTCCTGGGGGAGTGGCTTGTAGTCATTTGGCGGGGGTGTAAGAGAATCAGCGCATTCATCGTGGATGTCAAGTGATCTCAGACAATCTGATGAAGAACTACTCGAATCCAGAAAATGAATGAAAAAATTTGCAATTTTATTTGCGTATCCGCATCATTCTTTTGTTAACCAAATAGTTACTTCTTGCACAGTTGATATAATAATTTACAAAGATGAGGGAATATTTTCCCTACCCAAAATTATAGGGTTTCAGGGTTGTGTGAATCCCATATAATTATTGACATTGTAGTAATTCCCTAGAACATGTGGATTGTGATTTCTTGAAATAGGATGCATTAAATACAATAAAAATTGATCAAATTCAAATAACTTAATTATCATAATTTGATGAATTTTTCAATTTTAGTGATAATCTTTGGATTGAACTTAGCTGGAAATGCTGATGATTAGCTCTCCATACTGAAATAAAAACAAAGTAGCAACATCTATAATTTTTGGCAAAAATATGCTAAATACAGAAAATGAAGCCAAAAAACATTTCCCCTATCCATTTTTAGTATTAAGTTTTCACAAACCACTCATTTTTTATTATGGATAAACCTATTCTTTAGTACTTGAACTTCTCACTAAATATGAGGAATACTAACAAATATCCGCATCATTATTTGAAATAACCTTTGTTTGTAAAATGATAAGAATATCCCCTTACTACATATATATACATATATGATTGTAATGATGATGATGATGATGATGATAGAGAGGTGGGGAAGATATGTAATTTTTATTCTTGTGTGCAAGGGTAAAGCCGTCCTTTTCTATAAATAGCAGCCGGATGAAGCTTAGTGACAATGCTAAGATCCATTCATATCGATTTTTGGATTGTTGTGAAAATGAATAACTTATCTAAAATTTTAGTTGTGTATGGAGAGAGAGCCAAATTAATTATTTATAAAAGAATAAGGGGGTAAAAAAAATATTTTTTATTATTGATAGTACCATTCGGTCATAAAATGGAATACCCGCATTTTTTAACATATTTAAAATGTTACTGTAGCCCTTGGTTGCGTGATGACGTCACCATTAGTATTGATGACGTACGTGTTAAAGAGTCACTTCCCACGCGTAGCAGTCCGTTCCACGACGCGGTACGGGGGGGTTCAGTCAAAACAGCTGGCACGCGGACGCCGGAAACAAAGTCAACTTTCGACAGGACAAATAAACTTTACGAGTTATCAAATTGAGCTCAATATATTATGATAGAAAATAGTAAAAATGGATATTTTTAGTGTGCGTCCAGCTAATAAGCGATTTTTTTTGCAAATTTAACATTAAATATTACCAAATTACTCACCGATTCGTTTATGCTTGGGAATGAGAAGTAATCAATATATAATATATTTCTGACCATTTAGGAAATTTACGAGCACATAAAACTAAAAAAGAGTTTAATACGATTATTCAGAATTAATTTTCTATTGGATATTCATCTAGTCAAACCTAGCTGGATAGATAGGGTTTCTTGGGGAGCTGGATGATGAAGTTTGGGCAAAGATGCCCAGTCTAGTCCCTTCACAATCTCATTCCCATAATTATTTTATGAAACACATTTTATAAAATTAACCTGTAAATTGTTCAATTCTTCCATGCATTTATCTCACTACCAAGAAAAACCTGACATATTTTTTATAAAATTAAAATTTATTATCATTTGATCGTTTGCCTTTCATTATTTCAATTGAGCTTCAATTTAGTACCATAATATTTTTTATTATAAAAATTTATTGATATTACTAAAGGCGTGTTAAAGTTTGAATTATAAAATTATTATATAAAAAGCGGGAAATGACTTTGCTGCATGAGGGGTATGATGGTAAAATTCCCATTAAAAAAACGAGGAAAATTTTGCCGTCAACGCGGCAGTCATCCTGCTGCTCCTGGAAGCTACGACGAAGTACACAGGGAAGCTCACCGGAGGATAACCCCCACTGCCACTGCCACTGCCACCATCGCAGGTCCTGGCCGGCCTATAAATCTAGTGACTGGGCCAGCCAGAGGAAGGGAAAGAGATGGCCGGGGCGGCGGAGTCCTGGGGAAGAATCGATGGCGCTTCCGCCGCCGCCGCCGTCCTCTTCCTCCTCCCCGAGCTCCTCTTCCTCACCGCCATGGCAGTCCTCGCCGTAGGGGCCCTCTGGTCTTTCGTCCGCCGCACCAGAGCACGTGATTCCGCGGCGGAGGCGGCGCTCACGGGGGCGGCGGTGGGGATGTTGGTAGCGGGGGTGATCCCAGCCGTGGCCGTGACGGTGAAGGTGGCGGTCGCGACGCCGCCAGGGATCATGATCACGGCGCTGGCTGCGGCGGCGGTGGCGGTGGTGCTCACGGTGGTGGCGTCCGCGGCCGCCGTGGCGATGGCGGCGTCCGCCGTATCTGTGGTCCGTCGGTGGCTGGCCAAAGATCCGCCGCCCTCCCGGTGGTAACATATGCAGTTTCTTATGATTATCCATTTATCGAGAAAAATGTCAATAGGAGTTATTATTTGCCATTATCTGGTCATTATCTCTGTATTTATCTCTGTCTCTCTCTCTCACACTCTCTCTATTCGAGGTAGTATACTTCTTCTGTAAATTTTATTGAGAGAGGGAGGGAGAGAGAGAGAGAGAGCGATCGATCATCGTCAACCAGTATGTCCTGTTTTTATCGGAAAACCAAGAATATTTCAAGAAAACAGATGATGGGTCTTCAAACGAATTGCTCGGGCTGGGCAGGTCCGGCGGCCGACGTTAAAAAATTTCCGGCAATCTCTCTCTCTCTCTCTCTCTCTCTCCAGGATCGATCAGCCACAGATTACGAGCTTCCCGGCGGGGACAGCCGCCGCCGTGAAGCAGAAGAGAGAGATAATGAGGACATTCCGGCGGCACCAGCGGAGCGTTCTCCACTTCATCTCCTCACCAGCGCTCTTCATCCTTCGGCCTCCCCCCACGACGGGAACCTTACACAGGTCGAAGCTCTTCCCCTTCATCCTCAGCTCCTGCACGCACCTCGCGAGGGCGCGAGCCTCCACTCTCTCTCTCTGCACCCGCCTAGCCGCCGCCCAGAACCGCCATAGCCTGGCCTGCACGGCGCTCACGAGGGCCAGCGACGTCATGAGGGAGAGGCAGCAGGGGAGCCACCACCGGCGGTAGGATCCGCAGGCGGCGCCGCCGCCGTTACCGCCGGCGAAGAGGAGGTTGAGGAAGAGCCCGTGGAAGGCGAAGAAGAGGCAGCAGAGGCGGAAGACTTCTCGCTTGGTGGAATCGAGGAGGGTCTCGCCGGCGGCGATGCGCCGGCCGAGGAGGTCCTCCTCCCGCTGCCAGAGCTTGAGGAGGAGGAGATGGCCGGGGCTCTGCGAGATCTCCGCCAGCGGGTGGTGCTTGAGGGCACCGATGGCGGAGGAGGAGGTGGATTCTTCTTCCCCTCCTCCGCCGGGGATGTCCACGACCACATGGGCTTCTTTTTCTTCGCTTCTTTCCCCCATTAGGGTTCCTTCCTCGTCGAGATCTCCCTGAGAAACCTGCGGTATGCCGGCGCTATCTCAGGTTTTGCTTGGAGAGTAGGAAATTTAGAAGGCTTTCTTGCAGCGCAGGTAGAGCGAGAGAGAGAGAGAGAGAGGAGAGAGAACGGGGGAAGAGAGTGGGGAGCGTTCGTATTTGAGGGAGGGCAACGGTCACATTTGCTGCCAACGGTAACATTTGCGCCCTCGAGCACATTCGACTGTTGGCGCCTTTCGTGTCGCTCCGGTTTCAATGCGTGGCAGCATGTATATCGTTAGATAGAGGGAACAAGGTCATAAAGGATCTGGACCGTCCACGGTTTCTCTCGACCGGCGCCGGAACCCCCACTCAATCAGAGAGGCCGACCAAGCCCGAACCTTTCGAAGCCCATCCCGGCCCGGCCCATCTTGGTAATGGATAGAGACATTTCGGCCTTTTTCAAAGTAAAAGCTTAAAAATACATTTTGAAAAGTATATACAAAAAACGGAGGGTTTAAAAATAATGACTAAATTAATGCAGGACTTTTAAAAAACCCCACTTCGGGCGGCGGCGGCGGCGGCGGCGCTTGGTTTTGGCATTTTCTCACACTTCCTCTTCTCCTCCTCCTAGCTGCTCTGGCCGGAGACGATTTGCCCGATGTGCGGCGGCGGCGGCGGTGACTGTAACGACTGTGGCGGGGGACGGGAACTAGTAGTGACTCGGGGGAAGTACAACGCCGGTCTCCAGACCATTGGCTGAGCGTACCGCAGAGTCCAGGGACCACAGAAGATGCGGTTCCGGATTCTCGACGTCGGCTAGCGAGAGAGAAAGAAAGAGAGAGAGAGAGAGAGAGAGAGGTCCTCTAGAGAAACGGAGTCCGAGTGGGGTCGGAGAGGCTCTGTGGAAGGCAATAAGATGCTGTCCAGTGGCCGGGAAGGAAAACCGTGGCTCACCGAAACAATGGCGGCCGCCGCTTGCTGCGGCGGCCGATAAAAAGGCCGCCTCCGTCCAACTCTTCATCTACAGAAACTCCCTGACAAGAAGCTAATGGACCAGTCCACACAGATTGAGAAAGGTCGTCCCGAGGTAGACGACGATGACAACGACGACAGAGTGGTAAGAACAGGTGCCCCCCCCCCCTCCTCCTCTTCCTACGTCGCTGGTCTGCCATGTTCTCCCTCTCCGGCGAGCTCCGATCTCAGCTGGGCGGCGGTGATCTCCTGCTGCAGGGACGCTGTGGACATGCGTAGCGCACATCATCGCTGCGGTAATCGGCTCTGGCGTGCTCTCCCTGGCATGGAGCGTAGCGCAGCTCGGATGGGTGGCGGGGCCGGCGACCATGGTGTGCTTCGCCGCCGTCACCTACGTCTCCGCCTTCCTCCTCTCCGAATGCTACCGGTCGCCGGACCCGGACACCGGCAGGAGGCACCATTCCTACATGGACGCCGTCAGGGGGATCTTAGGTAGAGAGTGTGTGTGAGAGAGAAAGAGAGAGAGAGTAGAATTCCAGAATCAGAGTTTCTCCACCTTACTATTATCGGCGAATGATCTCTGTCATGGCGGCGTTTCAGGGAAGAAGAGAACCTGGGCATGCGGTCTGCTGCAGTACGTGAGCATGTACGGCACCGCCATTGCCTACACGATCACCACTTCCACCAGCATGAGGTGCTCCCCGCTGCGCCCATTCCCGAAAGCTTCCATCTTTTGCTTCTCCAGATCAATTAGGAACGAGCAGAACAGATAATTATACGGAGATCAGTAATACGAAGAGATCCTCTGCTTACAATAGCCTTGTACAGTCGCCATTGCTCGCTAACTCCGGAGATCACCAAGAAATTGCACTTTTTATTCATTGTTTTCTTGATCTGGTCGGGTTTTTTTTTTCAGAACTGACAGTTTGTGAGATGGTTTTTTCTATATTTTTATAATCTTTTCACTGCTTGCATCTGATATTCCAACTCTAGCTTTTTCTGCATTATTTGATTTCTGCCCTTGAATGGTTTTCTTCAGCATGATCATGTCTCAAGATGGTTTTTTTTGGCATATTTAAATCATATTACTCCAATAGAGATCACCCGAAATTTCTTGATCCTCTTCATAATTTTCCTGCTCTGCTCTTTAAGGTATATTTTTTTCCAAGCATGACAGTTCTAGATCTGTTTCTTTTTCTTTTCTTCGTAATCATAACCCAATTATACTAGGATCAATTGAACATCGCAAAAGCTTCATCATTTTCATGGCCTTAATGGGTCTTCCAGTATGATTAGTATTAATCTAAAACTGATTGCAGGGCAATTCTGAGGTCAAACTGTTACCACAAGGAGGGCCATGGAGCTAACTGCCATTTTGGGAACAAATCCAGCATGCTGTTATTTGGGGCAGTCCAGCTAGCCTTCTCCCAGATACCCGACTTCCAGAACATGGCCTGGCTCTCTGCCATTGCCGCCGTCATGTCCTTCTCCTACTCCTTCATCGCCCTCGGCCTCGGCCTCGCCAAAGTGATAGGTACTGCAAGCTCTGTTTCATTCCCAATGTGGAAGCCAGGCTTTTGCATGGGTCTTTCCTCCTGCCGCACTAAATATTCTGTTGTTAATCATAGTTAAGGATGAAGAGAGAAATGTCCAATATCCTTCTTCTTCTCCATTCTCGGTGAAAAGCCCAAGATCCTTCCCCACTCTCAATGCAGAACTTGATGGGTTCAAACTTCGCTTCTTGATCTTCTTCAGTTACTAATCATAGTAATCGTGAACACAACAGCCCAATAATCCTACTCTTAAACAGTAGAACAACGTGGTTCTTGTTCTTCTTCTTCATCCATGAGTTCTTCAATCAGTAATCTGGGCAAGCCCAAAACCCCCAACATCCTGAATGGTCTGCTTTCTTTCCGCATCTAATTGGGTGGGCATTGGAATCTACACCTGTAACATCAACCAATGTGGAGTTAAACCTCTTGTTCTCGTGAAATCTTCAGGAAATGGTCGGATCAAGGGGAGCATCCAGGGCGTGGCCACGAGAACGACCGCCCAGAGAGTGTGGAAGGTCTCTCAGGCTCTCGGAGACATCGCCTTTTCCTATCCCTACTCATTTATTCTCATCGAGATACAGGTACAGCTCCTTATGCTCTGAGAGATCTTTCAGCGAACATCTTATCTGCAACCGATGAAAAACCAGACCCTTGCCATTGAAATCGTGGGAAACACAGTGTTCTTGAACGAATCATCTATAGAAAAAAGAACTAATCAATACTTTCGAGAATAGAAATCTTTGATTACAGAGACGGAGAGACTGATGAATCATTCATTTACCTTCTTCCTTGTGGGGTTGAAGGACACGCTGAAGTCGCCGCCGGCGGAGCACCGGACGATGAAGAGGGCGTCGGTGATCTCCGTCGCCATGACCGCGTTCTTCTACCTCTGCTGCGGCTGCTTCGGGTATGCCGCCTTCAGCGACGAGACCCCCGGGAACATCATGACCGGGTTTGGCTTCTACGAGCCCTACTGGCTCATCGACTTCGCCAACGCCTGCATTATCCTGCACCTCGTCGGAGGTTACCAGGTCAACACCGTCACCGATTCAAGAAGTCAACACGTATTCCCCTCCAATCTTCCTCTAATCGAGAGCTCCTCGATCGGTGCAGGTCTACAGCCAGCCAATCTTCGCGTTCGCGGAGCAGTGGTGCGGCAGGCGGTTCCCCAGTATGGTCAACATGTTCTTCAGCTTCCACGTACCTCTGGTGAGGGCCACCCCAGTCAGGGTCAACATCTTTAGGCTGTGCTTCAGGAGCCTCTACGTGGTGTCCACCACGGGGGTGGGGATGCTCTTTCCCTACTTCAACCAGGTGCTGGGCGTGGTGGGGGCCCTCATCTTCTGGCCTCTGGCCGTCTACTTCCCTGTGGAGATGTACCTGACTCAGAGGAAGGTGAGGGCGTTGACCCCGAGGTGGGTCGCCCTCGAGGCCTTCAGCGCCGTCTGCCTGGTGGTCGGCGCCTTGACTCTCGTGGGTTCCCTGCAGGGGATCATCAGCGAGAAGTTCAAGTAGAGGAGGGGGGGGGGGGGAAGCCTCCCGGAAGTGATCTACCAGGGAGTGAAAAAAAATGCAATCTTTTTTATTCTTACCATTTTCGTATTTACCTCGGTGTGGGAAGTCAACGCGGAGGCACCGCCGTAATCCGAGAAATAACGACTTTGAGCTGACGGTGATGGCGACCAAAGGGCATATCATGGAAGCTTGTCGACGATCTCCTTCTCGATCCTGGATCCTCTCAATTGTAAGAGTAAAAGTCAACTATGGGCTTGTGGAACACTGCTCACATGATCCATATGACGTGAGGTAGGAGAAAGGAGAAGGATCAACTCAATAGTGAAGCTCTAAATCGGATCAAATCCTCTACACTTTCATCCCACACATCGTCCAGCACTATTAGGATCTTCTTCCCACCCACTGCCATCTGTAGCTCCTCTTCCATGGCCGCCCCGCCGTCAACGGCGGTGGACCCAACGACCTTGCTCACGAGGCCAGCAAGGCTGACGTCATGAGGGTGAGGAACCAGCCATTTGTCTAAGTGATCCACTAACTCTCTCTAGCTGTACGTACAGTAAGCGAGAGTTGTGTTGCCAGGGCCCTGGATGCTGATGATAGTGACGACGGTGAGGTCCTCTTTGGGCTCTTCACTGGCGAGGAGGTTCACCGCTGCGTTTTTGTCGGCGTTTGTTCTTCGGTACACCTATGAGTCCGAATGTGTGTTACCACTTATACAAATACTTTGTCCCTGTGAAATCAATGAAGGGTTTTTTCTTCTTTCGTTTGGTCTTGTTGCTTCTCCCTCCATTACACAAGTTGTTCTGTGAAATCAACCAACTGCAGGTTCTCATGCTACGTGTAGTTTCTTTCCTATTAGGGTAATATAGTATTACAGTAGGTGTGATCCTTCCTTACCCTCTTTTTATCTTGATGATTACATTTTTGTGAAACTTAAATAGTTAGTCCCTTTTCTTATCCACTTTTGTGATCGATTGCATCATGAATGGCGTTCTGAGACACATGCCATTATGCACAAATCATATCTATTTACATAGCTTCAATCTACAAACATCTTACTATTCCCCACCTTCCTTAGAAAAGGCATCAAATTATCCCTTTCTTATTAAATATTTTACTATGATATCACAATCAACTGAATTGTCAAGAATTTATTTGTCTAAATCTTTTGCAGATGATATGTCAAATCCATATTTTCTGCACCATTCAGATATCCCCACTTTGATTCTTATCTCCTAACAACTAACTAGTGACAATTATCCTTTATGAAACAGAAAAAGTTTCATTGATGGATATATTCCAAAAATGACATATAAAGATCCAATTTTATTATATGCATGGAATAGAAATAGTGTTTTCTAGATCTTAAACTTTGTCTTGTGAAATATGAACTAGCATTATTTATTCAGTTTTAGCATATAATATCTGAAAAGACCTAGATAAGTACCAACAAAGTAATGGGCCAAGAGTATTTTAACTGTGTCATGATTTGATGAACTTGTGTCAAGATCAAAATTCAGTTGTAGTATATTTTACCAAATTGAAGAGAATTTCAGAATAATGAAAGAATTATCCATCAGTATGTTCATGAGGAGAAAATGAACATCAATATGTTATGTCCTTTCTAATGAGATTGAATGAGTCATTCTCTCAAATTCGAGTAGAAATTCTATTTCTTGATCCACTTTCACCTATTACTAAATTTTTTCACTCATCTCTCAAGAAGAATGACAACAAGATAATGCTCTACATAGACTTGAATCTTCCAACACTAATTTTACTATCAAGATGACCGGTCCCAAGAGTTATCTCTAGTAATTACAAACCAAATTATGGACATCAAAAAGAACTCTATTGCACTCATTGTCATTTCAGAGGACACATTGTGAATAAGTGTTACAAATTACATAACAATTCACTAGGTCATAAGCTAATGTTAAAAATATCATGAGATTAATGTTATTCAAGTCTACTCAACCACTAACAAGAGCCACCAATGAGATATTGCTGATATTGAAAATCTTATTCAGAATCTGAATTCAACTCAATCATTTCATGTCTCGATTGTCAACACACTTGGATCACTCCACAATTATCTAAATTCATGAGTTATTACAGGTATATGTTTCACGATTAATTTGATCCCACATTGACATTCAAGACATACATGTATTATGAGTGTATTTCTTTCATTATGCCCGATTTCTAACTCATGAGTTACATTACCCAATAATACTTACATCTCAATTAATCTCTATGGTGACATACAACTAAATTCAATATTTATGTTCAAGGACGTGCTGATTGTCGCTTAGTTCAAATTCAATTTATTATGATCTGAGTGTATTAACAACAACTCATTATGTTCGAGTATAATTTTTTCATGATTGTTTTATGATTCAAGATAAACTCTACATTTTAATGCCAACAAGTCCTCCCATACTCAATGGCTGTAGAATATTTCAAGCTTCTACTAGCATAATATCTCTGTCATACACATTCGGAGCGTTCCTCCCGCGCCTGCAGCCAATCGCTATGTTGGTATAGGCTCACGTCGAAGTGCGTCCGGGCGGAACCCTCCGTCCTGCTGCTGCCGCCGCCGCCTCTCTTGAAACAGGAGATCATCGTCGTCGCCGGCCTTCCTCCACCGATTCTCCTAGATCACCTTCCGCTGATGATCTTACCTTCTGTGAGGAGGTGGGCTTCGGTTGAGGAAGGCGGCTGTAATGGAAGCAGAGCGAAGCACAAGGGCGGAAACATTGGGGAAGCCAGAATTCTATGAGTTGACTTTTACGCCTTGTGCTTTGACTCACTTGGTGCCTTTCAGATCCCGGGGTAGGCATGACAGGCGGTCGGAAACTCGAGCCGCATCTGAAATTATTAAATTGATGGATACAAAAGAATATGATAAATGATCTAACTTTTTCCATAAAGGTCAACGCATTCTTCTGGATCACCTTCCACCGATAATCTTACCTACTGTGCGGATCTGGGCTTCGGATGAGGAAGGGGGGTATGATGGGGAAGAGAAGCACACGGCGCGAAACATCGGGGAAGCCGACGACTTCCTCTCATACCGGCATTCTTTCGCTCCGATGTGTTGCTTTCGTCAGACACCCACCGGAAGCTGGCGATCGAAGGTCACGACAAGCCGCTCTCAGAAGCCATTCAGAGGAGGCTGAAGCGCCTCAACTTCTTGGAACTGCATGGGAACTGCGTACCTCACTGCCATCACCCTGGTCGGGTGCTGACTGCAGCAGGATCCGCTGGCTCTGCTGGAGGCGATGCCCCACCTTAGGAAGCTCAGTCTGTGCAGTGGGCGTTCGTAGGAGATGAGATGGCCTGCTCGGCGACGGGCTTCTCCAAGCTACGGGAGCTCGTTATCGATGACTTGTGGGGGCTCCGGCGGTTGCGACTGGCGGAGGCGGCCATGGGATCACTTGTCTGCTTCACCATCATGAAATCCCACCGGCTGGAGTCCCTGCCGGAGAGGATGGAGAGTATGCGGGCCCTCCAGGAGCTGGAGCTTCGTGACATGCTCGCGGCATTTACAGAAAGAGTTGAGGTGAATGGAGCACCGCATATCCCCTCCGTTAAAGTTGGTAATCCCTTTCGGTAAAGAACAGGTGAGCCCTCCCCTTCCCCCCTCCTCCTCCGCCGGCGGCGGCGGCCGGCCTTCCTCTCCATCTCTGGCGAGCTCTGATCTCAGATGGGCGGCGGTGATCTCTTCCAGGGACGCTGTGGACCTGCGTGGCGCACATCATCGCGGCGGTGACCGGCTCCCGTGTGCTCTCTTTGGCGAGGACCGTGGCGCAGCTTGGATGGGAGGCGGGGCCGGCGACCATGGTGTGCTTCGCCGCCGTCATCTACATTTCCGCCGTCCTCTCGGAATGCTTCACAGGCCCAAGAGAATCCTTGGATGAATCCATCTTTGCGGAGCTTTCCTTAACAACTGACAATAATGAACAATCGTCTAGGCCATCTTTTGATCACATGATCATACTATTTCCGCAATAAATGATATATGGTATGATTTTCTGGGAGTTTTATATAAATTAAATTTATGAAATATTATATAAAATTCAAATTTATTAAAGGGGTTTATTGAAAAGAGCTCCTCCTTTAAAACCCATTCGGCCTGAGAAAACAGGCCGCCACGCTTCCCCTTGAAGCCACCTTCCTTTCCGCCATCGTCCGCCTTCTGCCAGCCGTAGTTCGCCGCCGTTCGCTGTCGCCCCCGTGCCACCACCACCGTCCGCCGCTGCCGCCATCTCCGGCCGTTTCGGACCACCACCCGTCGCTCATCATCGTCCGACGTCCATCATCGCCGCCGCCGTCACCGTCCGCTGCAACCGTCCACCCCGCCGCCGGCATCCCTTTCTCTGCCCCCTCGCCCGTTCCGCCGCCGCCCGGTCCGCCCTTCCCGGCTGAGTTCCCGTCCGTCTTGGCGGTTAGAGTTAAATCCGCGCCGGTTCGTGAAGCTGGGTCCGTTCGGCCCGAACGGCCCCCCATTCCCGCCGGACCCAAACCAGCTCGGCCGCCTGGTCTGAACCATTCCGGACAGCCGTCGCCGCTCCAGGCCGCCTCACCTGGTCTGCACCAGGCCACCCAGTCAATCAGATCGATCCTGTCTACGGTCAACGACTCCGGGTGACGCCTTCCAGACGACGGGTCGATCTCCGGGTTCCCCTTTCTGTCATCACCATGTCCCATCTCTGTTTCATCTCGGCGCCCATCGTTTTCTTCTCCCATGCTTCGTCCGATCTGATTTCCATGGCAGAACCTCGAGCTGCAGCCCCATCGAATGATTTCTTGCTCTGCAGACAATGGCTAATCCAAACATCAGCTTGATCCTGAAGAGACTGGACGAGGTGAACTCCCAGAAAATCAACCTGCTAGCTGAAGTCAAGCCGGAGTTCGACTCCCTGCAGAGAGAACTCAGGTTCATAAAGGCATACATGGCAGATAATAAGAGATCTTGGCCGATTTTGGCGGAGGTAATGCTCCCGCAGCTGAGAGAAGCGGCCTTTGAAGCTGAGGACATCATCGACGATTTCAATCTCATGCTCAACCAAAAGAAACGCGGCGTTCGGAGGCTCCCTGGTGAGCATCCTCGCCTTTGTGGGCAAACGCTCTGCTCGTCGCCAACTGGGTACCCGCATTCAAGATTCCAGGAGGAGATTCCGTGAGATCTACGACCAGATGAAGGACTTCGGTCGAAGGATCGTACCAGTAGGTGGATCCGCTTCCTTCCGCTCTGCGGCGCGAGGCACGTCTGAGCTGGAGGAGTCTGCTCTGTCCGGCGGGCTGAGCGTCGTGGGATTCGCAGGGACCGAGCGATCCATGAGGGAGCAGCTGTTGAATGGGGAAGGCAAGCCCGCAGTCATATCCGTGGTGGGAATGGGAGGAATAGGGAAGACCGTCATCGCCATGAAGATCTACAGCAGCTGTGCAGTCAAGAGTGATTTTCAGTGCAGAGTGTGGGTCACTGTTAGCCAGAAATTCACTCTCACTGAGCTTCTGCGGCGCATTCTAGACTGCGTCCCGGGGGAGGGGATGGAGGAGGAGACCACGAAATTGAGAGTCATGCAGCTGGTGGAGAAGTCAGAGCCCGCCTTGAAAAGGTGAGGTACCTGGTGGTTATGGACGATATCTGGGAGAAGGGGGCCTGGAGTCCTGCCAGCCTCTCCCGGGAGCAGAGTGATCCTCACCACCCGCATTGAGGCCGTCGCCACGCATGCGCATGGACAGGTTCACAGACTTCCCTTTCTGAGCGAGGAGGAGAGCTGGGAATTGTTCTGCGCTAATGTGTTTCCCGGCGGCGAGCGGTGCCCCCCAGAGCTGGAGGAGGTGGGGAAGGAGATGGTGAGAAGATGCCGCGGACTGCCTCTGGCGGTCCTCGTTCTCGGCGGCTTGGTGAGCGAGAGAGAGGAGGAGGTACGAGTGGGGGGTCCTCCGCCGGCGTCTTACCCAGGAACTGAGCGCAGAGAGGAAAGAGATCATCAAGAACGTATTAGGTTTAAGCTATCATGATCTGATCGGTGACCTGAAGATATGCTTCCTGTACTTGGGGCTCTTCCCTGAGGACATGGAGATCGACGCCACCAAACTGGTCCAACTGTGGGTTGCAGAGGGGTTCATCCAGCAGACAAAGGGGCTCACCTCGGAAGAAACTGCGAAGCGGCACCTCGAGGAGCTCGCGAACAGGTCCGTTCTTCAGGTGGTGGACAGAGATTACATGGGGCGGGTCGACAGATTCAGGATCCATGATTTTCTCCTCCGTCTCGCGAAGGATGAAGGACGGAGGAACCAGTTGATCGACGTCCACGGGGGGCTCACCTTCAGGCAGGCGGTGAGGTCGTGCAGGCTTGCCCTTCCCGAGAATGCGAGCGTCTACCTTTCAAGCTCGATCTCCTTAGCTCTGAACCTGCGCGACCAGGAGCTCGGCGATTCATTGCTGAAACTGCTTTTTCTGAAGCGTCTCAGGGTGATAGACATCGGAGGCACGGCCATTAAGACGAGCCCGAGGGAGATCGGGAGAATGGTCCATCTGACTTACTTGGGCCTCAGGGGCACCAGGCTGGCCAGCCTCCCGTCCTCCATTGAGAACCTCGGCAAGCTACAGAAGCTCGACAGCAGGAATGTTCGAGGGATCACTCTCCCGCAAGGTGTCTGGAGGATGAAGATGCTGAGGCACCTTCACGCTGATCGTGCCAAGCCGGATGCCTCCTGCGGAACCCTATCGGAGTTGCAGACGCTTCATACAGCCTTTGCCGGTGCGTGGGTGGAGGCGGGTCTGGGAAAGCTCTCCAACCTCCGGAAGCTGGGGATCGGGGGCGCAAAGGAAGCTCACGTCAAGGCGCTCTCGGAGGCCATTCAGAGGAGGCTGAAGCGCCTCAACTTCTTGCACCTGGAAGGTAGCCGCGTCCCCAACGTTCTGGGCCTGGACTTGAAGGACCACAAGGGGCTTCACCAGCTGATCTTGAACGGACCAAGAAGGAAGGTCGGCGGACTGGTGGCCGGAAACCTGCCGCAGAACCTCACCGCCATCACCCTGATCGGGTGCCGACTGGAGCAGGACCCGCTGGCTCTGCTGGAGGGGCTGCCCGTCCCGGAGAAGCTCCGTCTGGGGAGTCACGCGTTCCTGTTCCTCGGAGATGAGATGGCCTGCTCGGCGACGGGCTTCTCCAAGCTACGGGAGCTAGATATAGATGAGTTGTGGGGGCTGCGGCGGCTGGAACTGGGCAGAGGGGGCCATGGGATCCCTCGTCAGCATCACTATCGTGAGATGCTGATGTGACTTTGTCGTTGTATATTAAATCACGTAAATATAAAATTTATAAAAGTAGAAAATACGATTTTTTAGATATTTAAAAGTATTTTTGAAAAAATATATCAATTATAATCTAATAAAACTTCCACAAAATAGCGGTAATTATTCAGAATTTTCCTCAAAGAATACTATTTTATATGAATTTTATACTAAGAAATGAAGAGAAAATATATTTAAAATTCACAAAAAAAGAAAATAAGAGTACGGACGTCAGGATGACGTCAGTATATTTTGGTAAATTAAAATCACACAAATTATCACTAAATGAACCGTAAAGGAAGTTTAAAGTAGGAAAATAGAATTCCAACATCACGGCGGCAATGCTTCAATGATGCACCGGAATCTTGAGCATTCGACAGGATAGTCATGCAGTGTCCACGGCCTCGAAGTCTCTCCTTGGATAAGGACGATGTGGGTAATCTTTAGATCTCCTTGCGAAGTCTAGAGGTCAATGAAATGAGTCGTCAAATCGTCTTTAGCAGCAGTCACTCGACGAAGCGAAAAAATAGCGACTTTGCGGTTGTTTGGCGGCTGTCACCTGACAGAGAGGAGCTAGATGGAGGTGGGACATGTGTCAGGGAGCTTCATCCTCAGGTCTCCACAGTAAGAAGAGGCTCTTCATCGCATCTAGTACACTCTCAAGAAGTGGCGACTCGTCTCTTAGTAGATCGTCCTCTTCTCGATTATGGCTTGTTCGTCGATCAATCGGAGATGATTTACTCAATGGATTCACGATCCTTTTATTGTCAATCTTTTAGCAATTTTAGTAATAATGCTCTGCGAATCGCGTTGACGAGATTTTCATCGATGATCTAGCGATTCTAGTTGCTTAATCCTTCACCAGTGATCTGCAGAAAAGTCATGATAATCTGATAAAAATATGAGTTTTGGCTCTAAGAGGATTCAAACCCGTGTCGGTTGTGTGCCAAATTTTCAGACGAATATATAGTAATGTTACATTTTTAAGCAAAGTCTCTTTCTCGCGTGTGTACGGCCACTCCTTGTCCCACAACCGGCTGACCACTGGTGACGTGGAATGGGAGTGACGCACACGTGCCCCCATCGGTTCAAGCCGCTCAAGCCCCTGCTCGCAGCTACTCCCAACTGCACTTCCGACCCGCTTGCAGCCCGGCTGACTGGCGGGTCCCCCTGATTTTGCTACATTTTTATTTTAATTTTTTTCCTTCATTTATCTCAAAAGTAAGACTGTAAAAATCATATAAAATCACATAATTACCCAAAAATTCACGTTAATCAATTGAAAATCACTTTTCACACTTTAACACAAATATAAGTCTATTTATCATAAGTTAAGGCTAAAACTATATTATTTACTAATTATTAACTCATGATAATGAAGACTTATCAGATGCCACGACTGGAGTCCCTACCAGAGGAGATAGAGGGCATGTAGGCCCTCATCGAGCTGATTCTAAACGGCATGCCCACAGCATTTACAGAGAGGTGTCACATGGATGCAGTTGATTGGCCCAAGATAAGGCATATCCCCACCGTTAATGTCTTATGATACGTCAACGCCATCTACCTTGGAAGTGAGTTCTCTCCCTCCCCTACTCCCTTGTTGACTTTTATTTGGTCAGGTATATGATCAGTGAGCATTCCTATTTTAAGAAAAAAGAAAAAACTCACCTTACTACTAGGGAGTAAAGATAAGAAGAAAAGAAAGAAAGAGCAAAATAATTATAAAAAGTTAGCCTCTTTGACCATTTGAGTACGGAAAATTTAGAGCTAATTATCAAGTTCTAGAACAACACCATGAACCATGATCACTGGGGTTTCCAAGGTAAAATTTGCTACCTTATAGAAAGTTCAAGGGCATGATACTTGTTTTCAGGGTTTTTTTCACTATTTTTGTGCTTTATTTCTTCCATTCTAGTGAGCTAAGTGTTGTTATATATAAATAAGATACAAGGCAGCTTGTTATTTAGGGAACGTAATGGGCCACCCAATGGTCACATTCAATGATCACCCACACCTAAAATTCAAACTCTATAAACACTTATTGATATAAAAAAATAAAAAAAATTAGATGTTCAGTTTTTTTTCATCGTGTTCATATTTAAATTATCTTTTTCAATGAGTGATCAGACACATGACATTTCAAGCATAAAATATTGATTATTTTACCATTTACTCCATTTCTCAAATTTATGTATATCATAAAAATTAGAAAAAACGTATGAGTTTTGACGCATCTTTGTTTTTTTTTAGTGTTAGTCTTTCAATTATTTTTCCAATGAGTACCTACATAACTATATTTGTGGTACCAATTTTCATCTAAAATGTTTTTATTTGTTTTGAACATAAATACTAATAGTTTTACCTTTAAACAAACGTTAATATTCAGACCTTCCTCAACACTCTTATCAATCTAGGTGATACTACCCTAAAATACTTCTATTATGGAATTACATTTCTTGATATATCGTCATTATCGAAACAGCTTTAGTGATTGTAACAAACAAGCTTTGACTAGTAGCAAACAGATGAATAGCTCTCTAGAATAGTTAGCCAACACTAGAAAGCCGAATTTGTTACTACAAACAGTTATTAAATCCAAAAAATGTAGATTAAAAGTTTATTTACTCGGCTACATAGAGCCATGGATAAAATCATTGGAGTGACTCTTCAGATCCCAGGGGTAAAGGTGACTTGTGGCCAGCTAAATAGAACCACATCTAAAACACCAAACTAAATAAACATGATAAGTTTTAATTTCCCAATAGTTGAAGTTTATTCTTGATTTTGCAATAAAATGTCACTCAACTGAAAATTCTCACAAAAACCTGGAAACCCACGAAATATTCTGTAAAAATCAAGATTCTTATGGATCATTAACTTCGATCTGAATCATGTGATAAAATATAATCAACGTTTGAGAAAGTCTGGCAACTTCATTACTAGCAATCGAATAGGATCTATGCAAAAGTGTGTGAGCGGAACAGATTCACAGAACCATTTTGATCTTAAGATGGAGAGTAGAGAAAGAGATGGGGATCGCTGCCGCGCTGCTTCATCTTCTGCCGTTTAAGCACTTGGACTTGTGAAGATCGCCAAGAGAAGAATGGCGATGGATAAAACATTGAATAAACTGGCTTCATGGAAATGCATCCCCAAACAAGGTATCTAAGCGTTAAAAGAGTATTGTTCATTTCAAGGAAGAACATAAGCTTTCCACAGTGAGGGCCATTTTTCACATCACTGTTCATAAATTCTATATTCGATTTATCAGTCGAGCTCACCCTTGTTCCTCTTCATCAGGACCGATCATATTGATCCCACCCTCCTCTGCATCTAGCCTCATAATCGAACAGACATCCTACCAAGTTAGATCAGTTCAAGATCAATCTGAAAAAAATCGACTGATGAACCTACTTTCGAGCTCATAGAGGTAGATAGCGAAGAAAGAAAGAGAGAGAGAGAGAGATAGACAGCCATCAGCTTGATCCTGAAGAAAGTGGACGAGTTGGTCTCGCAGGAAATCAACCTGCTAGTCGAAGTCAAGCCGCAGTTCGAATCCCTGCAGAGAGCACTAAGGTTCATAAACGCATACCTTGCGGATTTTGACCGGAACAGAGCTCAAGTTCCAGCTCAGGTGGAGGAACTGGGCCAGCAGCTGAGAGAAGCGGCCTTTGAAGCTGAGGACATCATCGACGATTTCTATCTCATGATCGACCAGAAGAAACGTAGCGGCATCAGAGGCTCCCTGATGAGCTTCCTCGTCGGTGTGGGTGAAACCTCTGCTCGTCACAAACTGGGTACCCGTACTGAACATTCCAGGAGGAGGATCGGCGAGATTCACAAAAATATGGGGGCCTACAACATAAAACTCAAACCAGTAGATGAATCCCCTCCCTCCTCCGTTGTGGCGCGAGGTACGTCTGAGCTGGATAAGGCTGCTCTATCCCAGGGCCTGAGCGTCGTGGGATTTGCAGAGACCGAGCGATCCGTGAGGGAGCAGCTGTTGAATGGGAAAGGCAAGCTCGCAGTCATATCAGTGCTGGGAATGGGAGGGATAGGGAAGACAACCATCGCCAGGAAGATCTACAGCAGCTATGCGGTCAAGCGTCATTTTAATTGTACAATTTGGGTACTGTTCGTCAGAAAATTCACACCCACTGAACTTCTGTGGAGCATCCTAGACTGCATCCCGGGAACGAAGATGGAGAAGGAGGAGATCAGGAAATTGGAAGACACGCAGCTGGTGAAGAAGCTGAAAACCCTCCTTGAAAAGGTGAGGTACCCTGTGGTCATCGACGATATCTGAGTGAAGAAGGCCTGGGATCTAATAAATTCCGCCCTGCCGCCCTCCCCGGGGAGCAGAGTGATCCTCACCACCCGCATAGAGGATGTCGCTATGTACACACAGGGAAAAATCCACAGACTTCCCTTTCTGAGCGAGGAGGAGATCTGGGATCCCTCGTCCGCTTCACCCTGCTCAGCTGCCCCCTGCGGGAATCGCTGCCGGAGGGGATGAAGGGCATGCGGGCCCTCGAGGAGCTGATGTTGGCTGGAGGGCATGTCCGAGGCATTTAGAAAAAGGGCTGAGGAGGATGGAGCTGATTGGTCCAAGGTACGGCATATCCCCTCCGTTAAACTATCCTACGCGCCTGTATGCAATTGAATTTCATTGGGTATATATATGATCAATTCGGACATTCTTTAATTAGTATATATATATTTAAAAAAAAAACAAAAAACTCAGCTCACTTCGAGGGTGTAAAAAAAAAAAAAAAGGAAATAAGAAAAAAATAGGCCCTTTGCAATAAAGCAAAGAGAGAAATAATTATAAAAAATTAGACTCATTGGCTGTTGCACCACGGAAAAATTAGAGGAAAATTATCTGGCTTTAGAACAACACCCCCAAATCTTTCGGGTCCCAACGTTCATACTCCACTCGAACCCTTCTCAGAAGATCGGGGTCAGCCGGCGATGCAAAATTCACCAAGCCTTACTCATGATTTTATTAATGGCTCTATATAGCCAACTAGACAGGCTTGTAATATACATTTGCTAGATCCTCCTTCTAGAGAGGTATGTGGAGCGGGGGTGTCTTGGACGGCGGAGCGGTACTTGTTCCAGGCGAGGAAGACGAGGAGAGCGACGGCGAGCGCCATGGGGAAAAACCAGATGCGGAGTAGTGAGGGAATAGGAAGGTCAAGGCATGACCTGAGCACAAAAGCCGCTGAAGCCGAAACGAGACCGATGTGTTGCCCCCACTGTTGTATCAAGGCCGTCGCCGGAGTAGCTCCTCCTCCAGAGGGGCGAAGGGAGAGAACGGAGAGGACGACCGCCGCCGTGAAGGTGACGTAAATAAAGGCTAAGTACAGCTCGAAGAGGAGTAGACTTCTGGTTCCCTGCGTTGGTTGCTGACTGTCTGATATGGAGAAGCAAATAGCCAGCAACGCTAAGGAGAATTGTTGTTGCCTGGAGTGATTCTCCGCCGGGGTGCAGAGGGAGGGTGTTACGGAGGGCATGGTTGCGACGGCGGAGCGATACTTGTTCCAGGCGAGGAAGACGAGGAGCGCGACGGCGAGCGCCATGGGGAAAAACCAGATGCGGAGTAGTGAGGGAATAGGAAGGTCAAGGCATGACCTGAGCACAAAAAACGCTGAAGCCGAAACGAGACCGATGGGTTGCCCCCACTGTTGTATCAAGGCCGTCGCCGGAGCAGCTCCTCCTCCAGAGGGGCGAAGGGAGAGAACGGAGAGGACGACCGCCGCCGTGAAGGTGACGTAAATAAAGGCTAAGTACAGCTCGAAGAGGAGTAGACTTCTGGTTCCCTGCGTTGGTTGCTGACTGTCTGATATGGAGAAGCAAATAGCCAGCAACGCTAAGGAGAATTGTTGTTGCCTGGAGTGATTCTCCGCCGGGGTGCAGAGGGAGGGTGTTACGGAGGGCATGGTTGCGACGGCGGAGCGGTACTTATTCCAGGCGAGGAAGACGAGGAGCGCGACGGCGAGCGCCATGGGGAAAAACCAGATGCGGAGTAGTGAGGGAATAGGAAGGTCAAGGCATGACCTGAGCACAAAAGCCGCTGAAGCCGAAACGAGACCGATGGGTTGCCCCCACTGTTGTATCAAGGCCGTCGCCGGAGCAGCTCCTCCTCCAGAGGGGCGAAGGGAGAGAACGGAGAGGACGACCGCCGCCGTGAAGGTGACGTAAATAAAGGCTAAGTACAGCTCGAAGAGGAGGAGACTTCTGGTTCCCTGCGTTGGTTGCTGACTGTCTGATATGGAGAAGCAAATAGCCAGCAACGCTAAGGAGAATTGTTGTTGCCTGGAGTGATTCTCCGCCGGGGTGCAGAGGGAGGGTGTTACGGAGGGCATGGTTGCGACGGCGGAGCGGTACTTGTTCCAGGCGAGGAAGACGAGGAGCGCGACGGCGAGCGCCATGGGGAAAAACCAGATGCGGAGTAGTGAGGGAATAGGAAGGTCAAGGCATGACCTGAGCACAAAAGCCGCTGAAGCCGAAACGAGACCGATGGGTTGCCCCCACTGTTGTATCAAGGCCGTCGCCGGAGCAGCTCCTCCTCCAGAGGGGCGAAGGGAGAGAACGGAGAGGACGACCGCCGCCGTGAAGGTGACGTAAATAAAGGCTAAGTACAGCTCGAAGAGGAGTAGACTTCTGGTTCCCTGCGTTGGTTGCTGACTGACTGATATGGAGAAGCAAATAGCCAGCAACGCTAATGAGAATTGTTGTTTCCTGGAGTGATTCTCCGCCGGGGTGCAGAGGGAGGGTGTTACGGAGGGCATGGTTGCGACGGCGGAGCGGTACTTGTTCCAGGCGAGGAAGACGAGGAGCGCGACGGCGAGCGCCATGGGGAAAAACCAGATGCGGAGTAGTGAGGGAATAGGAAGGTGAAGGCATGACCTGAGCACAAAAGCCGCTGAAGCCGAAACGAGACCGATGGGTTGCCCCCACTGTTGTATCAAGGCCGTCGCCGGAGCAGCTCCTCCTCCAGAGGGGCGAAGGGAGAGAACGGAGAGGACGACCGCCGCCGTGAAGGTGACGTAAATAAAGGCTAAGTACAGCTCGAAGAGGAGTAGACTTCTGGTTCCTTGCGTTGGTTGCTGACTGTCTGATATGGAGAAGCAAATAACCAGCAACGCTAAGGAGAATTGTTGTTCCCTGGAGTTATTCTCCGCCGGGGTGCAGAGGGAGGGTGTTACAGAGGGCATGGTTGCGACGGCGGAGCGGTACTTATTCCAGGCGAGGAAGACGAGGAGCGCGACGGCGAGCGCCATGGGGAAAAACCAGATGCGGAGTAGTGAGGGAATAGGAAGGTGAAGGCATGACCTGAGCACAAAAGACGCTGAAGCCGAAACGAGACCGATGGGTTGCCCCCACTGTTGTATCAAGGCCGTCGCCGGAGCAGCTCCTCCTCCAGAGGGGCGAAGGGATAGAACGGAGAGGACGTCCGCCGCCGTGAAGGTGACGTAAATAAAGGCTAAGTACAGCTCGAAGAGGAGGAGACTTCTGGTTCCCTGCGTTGGTTGCTGACTGTCTGATATGGAGAAGCAAATAGCCAGCAACGCTAAGGAGAATTGTTGTTGCCTGGAGTGATTCTCCGCCGGGGTGCAGAGGGAGGGTGTTACGGAGGGCATGGTTGCGACGGCGGAGCGGTACTTGTTCCAGGCGAGGAAGACGAGGAGCGCGACGGCGAGCGCCATGGGGAAAAACCAGATGCGGAGTAGTGAGGGAATAGGAAGGTGAAGGCATGACCTGAGCACAAAAGCCGCTGAAGCCGAAACGAGACCGATGGGTTGCCCCCACTGTTGTATCAAGGCCGTCGCCGGAGCAGCTCCTCCTCCAGAGGGGCGAAGGGAGAGAACGGAGAGGACGACCGCCGCCGTGAAGGTGACGTAAATAAAGGCTAAGTACAGCTCGAAGAGGAGTAGACTTCTGGTTCCTTGCGTTGGTTGCTGACTGTCTGATATGGAGAAGCAAATAACCAGCAACGCTAAGGAGAATTGTTGTTCCCTGGAGTTATTCTCCGCCGGGGTGCAGAGGGAGGGTGTTACAGAGGGCATGGTTGCGACGGCGGAGCGGTACTTATTCCAGGCGAGGAAGACGAGGAGCGCGACGGCGAGCGCCATGGGGAAAAACCAGATGCGGAGTAGTGAGGGAATAGGAAGGTGAAGGCATGACCTGAGCACAAAAGACGCTGAAGCCGAAACGAGACCGATGGGTTGCCCCCACTGTTGTATCAAGGCCGTCGCCGGAGCAGCTCCTCCTCCAGAGGGGCGAAGGGAGAGAACGGAGAGGACGACCGCCGCCGTGAAGGTGACGTAAATAAAGGCTAAGTACAGCTCGAAGAGGAGGAGACTTCTGGTTCCCTGCGTTGGTTGCTGACTGTCTGATATGGAGGAGCAAATAACCAGCAACGCTAAGGAGAATTGTTGTTGCCTGGAGTGATTCTCCGCCGGGGTGCAGAGGGAGGGTGTTACGGAGGGCATGGTTGCGACGGCGGAGCGGTACTTATTCCAGGCGAGGAAGACGAGGAGCGCGACGGCGAGCGCCATGGGGAAAAACCAGATGCGGAGTAGTGAGGGAATAGGAAGGTCAAGGCATGACCTGAGCACAAAAGCCGCTGAAGCCGAAACGAGACCGATGGGTTGCCCCCACTGTTGTATCAAGGCCGTCGCCGGAGCAGCTCCTCCTCCAGAGGGGCGAAGGGAGAGAACGGAGAGGACGACCGCCGCCGTGAAGGTGACGTAAATAAAGGCTAAGTACAGCTCGAAGAGGAGGAGACTTCTGGTTCCCTGCGTTGGTTGCTGACTGTCTGATATGGAGAAGCAAATAGCCAGCAACGCTAAGGAGAATTGTTGTTGCCTGGAGTGATTCTCCGCCGGGGTGCAGAGGGAGGGTGTTACGGAGGGCATGGTTGCGACGGCCTTTAGTCCCACGTCGACTATTTTCACAGCTCTGGAATCCATATAAATAGAGGGTTTTCCAGCCAATGCCACGGAGAAAAGGACAGAGACAGGAAGAGAGAGGCAGCGAGAAAGAGAGAGAAGCCACTGCCTGGGTCCCGCTTGCGGGCTAAATGGAATGCACTCCCCTGATGGTACGGAACTATGGAAGATCCGACGATGGTTTCTCCGATGTAACATCAACTGTTCAACGATCTCAGATCTCGACACGTCAGCCGAAGCAGCCAAGAACACAGAACTAGTTCAAATTAGGGATCTTCCTTCATATAGTTCCCTCTCACCAAGAGAGAGGGTCAACTTGTTTTATCCGCACGCGATATCGGAGTGTTTGACCATGAAATCGCCGGTAGCTGTCACTCTCCTTCGGTGGGATCGACTGAGCTCCCCTCACTTGTAAACCTGTCCTACACATGGGTTCACTCCGACCCGTCAGATGAAGAAGGTGGGCCAGCTGATGGCTGTCTATCTCTCTCTCTCTCTCTTTCTTTCTTCGCTATCTACCTCTATGAGCTCGAAAGTAGGTTCATCAGTCGATTTTTTTCAGATTGATCTTGAACTGATCTACTTGGTAGGATGTCTGTTCGATTATGAGGCTAGATGCAGAGGAGGGTGGGATCAATATGATCGGTCCTGATGAAGAGGAACAAGGGTGAGCTCGACTGATAAATCGAATATAGAATTTATGAACAGTGATGTGAAAAATGGCCCTCACTGTGGAAAGCTTATGTTCTTCCTTGAAATGAACGATACTCTAAAACTTACATCTAATTTCAATTTTTAAATACTATATAATATAGTTAAATAATCAGAACTAAGATTTTTGCATGATTTACACTGACTTTTAGCATATATAACTATGTACTTTCCTTTTGTTGGATGATTATTATTCAATTGAGATTTATTTTATCTTCAAACATTCTTAAGGTATAGAATCATTTATTCTCAAGGATAAATGGTCCAGGTTTTATACACATGGTCCAGTAGATGTACCCACCGACCAATCATATTCTTAAGAATCATATACGAGGACTTTGCCTGTCCCCACCGACCAATTGGATTGCTCTGGATTAAGGAAGATGTACCCACCTCCATACTTAGATGGGCCTCGGGCCTTCGGGCCAGGCCACCGTACAGGCCCAGACTATTCTGACCCAATTTTTTTATTGTGACCGGGCCTCCCTATTACATAACAGGGCCCAATCTCTGTCCGGGCGGCGGGCCTTCTTCTTCATTGGGAATTAAAGATAATTAGAATTTTATGAAATAAAAAATTAGTTTTGGGAGTAAAAATAAAGAAACAAAAAGGATGGTCGGGATGGGTTGACCGGGGGCATTGAACCCGACGTGAATCGAACACGCAACCTTCTGATCTGGAGTCAGACGCGCTACCATTGCGCCACGGATCCCGAGGCTGACAAATAGAGTATTTAAATAATAAGAATCTGACTTTTTGACTTCCAATCCGCAAACCGAAAATTTGTGGTCGCCGAGAGCCCTTATCCCACGCCTACCAACGGAACCCGTCCACGTCAGCTCGCAGAATCTTTAACCCCATCCTTACTCCCTCTCTCTCTCTCTCTAAATCATCAGATATCAGAGACGCCCACCGCAGAGCTCCGCTCCTCCGCTCATCTCCCCCCCCCCCGCCGTCCATCGAAGGCCTCTCCCCCACCATGGCCTCCGCCGTGCTCTCCGCCGCCGTGGCCTGCAACTCCGCCGCCGCCCTCCTCAGCCCCTCCCGCCGCTCCTTCCAGGGCCTGAGGCCGCTCAAGGCCACCGACTCCCCCGCCGCCCTCACCGCCCTCTCCAGGAAGGCTGCCCCCTCTGCGGTGCGCCGCCGCTCCCCGGGTGTCCGGGCGGAGCTGAACACCTCCCTGGTGATCAGCCTCAGTACGGGGCTCTCCCTCTTCCTTGGGCGGTTCGTCTTCTTCAACTTCCAGAGGGAGAACCTGGCCAAGCAGGGCCTGCCGGAGCAGAACGGGAAAACCCACTTCGAGGCCGGCGACAGCCGCGCGCAGGAGTTCGCCGGGCTGCTCAAATCCAACGATCCCGTGGGCTTCAACCTCGTGGACGTCCTCGCATGGGGTTCCATCGGCCACATCGTCGCCTACTACATCCTCGCCACCTCCAGCAACGGCTACGACCCCTCCTTCTTCAACTGATCCGCCCATCCTCTGTAAGATAAAATGCTCCAGACAGCAGCTGCTTTCTGGGTGGATGTACAGCCGAGTCGGGGCGGGGCGGATATTCCTTCTGGATCTGACAGGAGTGGGGTGGTCTTCGATTCGATCCTTGCGATTCATCTTCTTCTTCTTCCTGAAATCGCTGCTCTTCTGGGACCGAAAATCTTGCTTGGAAATTATGAGGTTTCATAGATCCCAGACGAACCCGAGCGCCAAACAGGAGTGGGATGGAGCGAATTCCGTTTTTTATTCTTTTTCCGTTGGAGAACTCGTGAACCCAATCACCGAAATGGAGGCGAGACTCCTCTGCATCGACGTACGTTCAACTGCAGGTCTTGATTATCCCGGTAGAAGTTCGCGAGGAGCCCGGATGGCCAGATGGGCGGGCAGTATTTCTGAATCCGCATGGACTGTTCCTGCATCCGTGCCAGGTTGAGACGAAAAATCTCTTTCCAGAAAATAGAAATAAAATTTCACAGATCTTGAATCCGATCGATAGCGGAGGGTTCTCCTCCATGGGCTTCGGAAGAATCAGAGGAAGTGCTTACCCCTTCCTCCTCCGCCTAACATGGTATCAGAGCGGGTTTAGGGTTTCTGTCGCCGGCTTCGTCTTAAACTGGCCGGAGATGGGCAGGCGGAACAGTTTTTATTGGTTGTGTTGCTGGATCTGTCTAATATAGATTTCTGAATCCGCGTGGAGTGTTCCTTCATCCGTGCCAGGTTGAGATGAACGATCTCTTTCCAGAAAAAAAAAGAAAAAGAAAAGAATTACGGCTCTTGCATCCGATCGACCACTTCCGTGATCTTCTCTGCCTTATGCTAGAAATACGCCGTGTGGGTTCTCCTTCCCCGAGTTCTTGGAGCCCTGAATTTCTGAAAGTAGATAAGACTTCAAGCTATTATTATTTTCCTTTCGACATCCGAGCGGCTGAGCGTTGCTCTGGTTACCACGTGGAAAGAGCAAGGAGCGGCGATTCTGATTGTGTGGCGCGTGAAAGGCCAGGAGGCCGGCAGGCGCTTCCCCTTGGGCTGTGTGGCCTGCAAGCTGGTCCTCACCCAGCTTCAGATAACTCTGGAGTTTCCACATCTGGATTGGTCGCATTATCCACACACAAGGCCGGCAGGCGATCCCGATTCTCTCTGCTTTCTTTCTCTTTCTTAGCGAGCGAGAGAGAGAGAGAGAGAGCGAGAGAGAGAGAGAGAGAGAGAGAGAGAGAGAGAGAGAGAGAGAGAGAGAGGGTTGGGTTTGCAAGAGCCATTTTCTACATCAAGTTTAAATTTAAATTCAAAAGACTGTAAGAATAATGAAAGTTAAAGATTTAAAGTTTGACATTTGGAAACCACATACGTTAGTAAACAGTCAACTTGAATGTTAAAAATATAAGAAAATAAGGAAATTAATACATGGAAAAGGTAATTTATAAAAGAATTGTTATATACCAAAAGTAATTAACTCATAAAGATTCAAGACTTTTCATCAAGATCTTCACACCACACATGTCAATAGTAAACTGCTCTAAAACAAACCCTTGATCAATTGGATTTGACAATCAAGCAACTATGTAACTAAATCAGTGCTTTCTATTAGACCATAAGGTAACTGGGTGACAAGATATTGGTTTCGGTTAAGACATTTGGCATTTCTAACCATGTTTGACCTAGAGGGCAATATGGTTATAAATATATCTAAAATAGCATTATAAATTGACTAAAATAGCACAATATAAAATATTTCTCATGATTGTAAAAAATGAAGAGTAAACTGATCATTGAAATAGAAGAGTTAGACACATGAATATTAAAGTAATTCCGTTGTGTTGAGAATTTGATTTGGTCAAACGATTACCTAATTTAATTCAAAATTTGTCAAATTAGCATCAAAAGAAAAAAAAACTAGTGAAACATTAAAAACTATAGAACACATCTCATCAGCTAAACTATTAAAAAAAACTTGATAAATTTAGATTTTCTTGGTCAAAATAAAGTTTCTTGTTCAGGAGAAAAATATTATGATTTAGTTATAGTTAGTAATTACTATATTTATACTTGAGTGCTCTTCTTGGTTCAAAAGAATGAAATATTACTTTGTAAAATTTATAAAGAATAATCGAATAACTTTAGAATAATAATTAAGAATACAAGAATATTAAATTCTATTTTAAATCCTTATTTTCTCATCTTTATTGCAAAGAGCATATTTTCCTCATCCTTCTTTTACTCGCTCATAATGAAGTGAGTATTCTTTCTTAAAATAGGAATAATAATACAACAATATCCGAATTGATAAATCACAACCAAATTCAATTTCATAATACGGGTGGAAATATTTTAACGAAGCGGATATGCCGTGTCTTGGACCAATCAGCTCCATCCTCTGCCCTTTTCTACAAATGCCTCGGGCATGTACTCCAGACTTAGCCCTTCGAGGGACCGCATGCCCTCCATCCCCTCCGGCAGGGATTCCAGGCGGGGGCACCTGCCGACGGTGAAGCTGACGAGGGATCCCATGGCCCCCTCCGACAGCCGCAGTCGCCGGAGCCCCGCCAAGTTATAGATAATGAGCTCCCGTAGCCGGGGGAACCCGGCTGCCGGGCAGACCATCTCATCTCCTAGGAACACGCCACTGGACAGAATCAGATCCCCGAGGTAGGGCAACGCCCCCAGCTGAGCCAGCGGGTCCTGCTCCAGTCGCCAACCTTTCAGGTTGATCGCGGTGACGTTCTGCGGAAGGTTTCCCGGCGCCAGTCCGACGACCTTCCTTGTCGTCCCATCCAAGATCAGCTCGTGAAGCCCTGCGTGGCCCGTCAGGTCCAGGCCCAGCACGTTGGGGACGGAGCTCCCTTTCAGTTCGAAGAAGTTGAGGCGCTTCAGCCTCTGAATGGCCTCCGAGAGCGGCTTGACATGAGCTGATACGCCCACGATCGTCAGCTTCCGGAGACTGGAGAGCTTTCTCAGGCCCGCCTGCACCCACTCGCCGGCAACGGCATATTGAAGCGTCTGCAGCTCCGTTAGGGTTCCGCAGGAAGAGGCCTGCGGCTGGGCACGATGAGCTTGAAGGTGCCTCAGAGTTCTAATCCTCCAGACACCCTGCGGGAGCGTGATTTCAAAAACAACCCTGATATCGAGCGTCTGCAGCCTGCCGAGGTTCTCAATGGAGGACGGGAGGCTGGCAAGCCTGGTGTTCCTGAGGCCCAAGTAGGTCAGACGGACCATGCCCCCGATCTCCTTCGGGACCATGTCGATTGGCGCGCCTTCGATGTCGATCACCCTGAGAAGCTTCAGAGAGCACAGGTTGAGCAAGGAATCACCAAACCACTGGCCGTCCAGGTTGAAGAAGAGAAGAGATCGCAGGTTCGGAGCTAAGCAGCTCGAGCTTGAGAAGCAGACGCTCGCATCCTCGTGGACGGCGAGCCTGCGTGACCTCACGGCGTGCGTGGAGGTGGGATCCCCGTGGACGTCGAGGAACTGATTCTTCCTTCCTTCATGCTTCGCTAGGTCGAGGAGAAGATCGTAGATCCTACATTTGTCGACCCGCCCCATGGGATCTCTGATCACCACCTGAAGAATGGACCTGTTTGCCAGCTTCTCGAGGTGTTGCTCCGCGGTTTCTTCCCGGGTGAACCCCGCTGCCTGCGCGATGAATCCCTCTGCAACCCACAGCTGAACCAGCTTGGTGGCGTCGATCACCATATCCTCGGGGAGGAGCCGTAGAGGAAGCATGTCCTCAGGCCGTCGCTCAGATCGTCATAGCTCAAAGCTAGTATGTTCTTGATCATGTCGTCCCTCTCTGCGCTCAGTTCCTGGGTAAGACGCCGGCTGAGTACCCCCCACTCGTACCTCCTCCTCTCTCTCGTTCACCAAGCCGCCGAGAACGAGGACCGCCAGAGGCAGTCCACGGCATACCATCTCCTTCCCCACCTCCTCCAGCTCTGGGGGGCACCGCTCGCCGCCGGGAAACACCTTCGCGCTGAACAATTCCCACCTCTCCTCCTCGCTCAGAAAGGTAAGTCTGTGGATTTCTCCCTGCACATACAAGGCGACAGCCTCTATGCGGGTGGTGAGGATCACTCTGCTCCCCAGGGAAGCCGGCAGGGCGGAATTCATGAGATCCCAGGCTCCCTTGTCCTAGATATCGTCAAGGACCACCAGGTACCTCACCTTCTCCAGGCAGGCTCTAAGGTTCTCCACCAGTTGCATTTCTGTCAAGCTCCTGATATATTCCTCCTTCGTTGGCCTCGGAATGCAGTCTAAGATGCTCCGCAGAAGTTCAATGGCCGTGAATTTCTGGCTAACAGTGACCCAGGCTCTGTAATCAAAATGGCCCTTGACCGGATCACTGCTGTAGATCTTCTTGGCGATGGTGGTTTTCCCCATCCCTCCCATTCCCACCACGTATATGACTTCAAACTTGTCTTCCCCATTCAACAGCTTGTCCGTCATGGATCGCTCGGCCTCTGCAAATCCCACGACGCTCAGGCCCTTGGACAGAGCAGATTTCTGCAGCTCAGACGTACCTCACGTAGAAGAAGAGGAAGGGGATTTATCTATTGGTTTGATTTTTATGTCGTGGATCTTCATCTGGTCGAAAATCTCACGGATTCTCTCTCTGGCATCTTTGATGCGGGTACCCAGTTCGTGACGAGCAGAGGTTTCGCCCACACAGACGAGGAAGCTCACCAAGGAGCCTCTGAAGCCGCTGCGTTTCTTCTGGCTTCAAAGGCGGCTTCTCTCAGCTGTTGGACTAGTTCCTCCACCAGAGGTGGAAATTGAGCTCTGTTCCTGTCAAATTTTTCGAGGGCTCTGTTTATGAACCTGAGTTCTCGCCGCAGGGATTCGAATTGGAGCTTGAATTGAGCTAGTAGGTTGACTTCCTGTGAGAGCAGCTCGTCCAGTTTCTTCAGGATTAGGCTGATGAATGTATTATCCATTGCCTGCAAATCTAGAATTCATTCGATAGGGCTCCTGCTCGCGGTTATTGCTCGGTTGCCAGTTCCTGATATGGAAATCAGAACGGATGAATGATGGGACAAGAAAACGGGGATCACTCTCCTCTGAGCAGTGAATCCCTTCTGCTTCATCCTCGTCTTCCTCCTCACGATAGAGAGAAATTAGAGAGAGAAAGGCCGTCAAAGAGCTAATCCGATGGGTGCCAAAATGAAATAGATATGAGATGTCTAATCTAAGCTAATTGGGTGCCAAGTCAACTCGCCTGGCTTCTCCGCGGTGTCTCTGGTGAATGGCGTAGCACGGGCTGTACCTCCAGAGCCAGTGGCGCTCAATGGCGCCCGCGCGGGGCGGATGGAGGGCTCAGGGTACCTTTCGACGTGAGCCCGTACCAGTGCAGCGACCGGCGGCAGAGCAGGAGCGCTCCGAAGGTCTACGGCAGAGACCCCAACGTGGACGCGGTGGTGAGCCTCCTCGTCGGCGACGAGCCCGGAGAGGACCTCGTCGTCTCCGTCGTCGGCATAAGACGACTTTTGCCCCCCGCTGTGCTTACAACCAAAGAGAGGTGGTGGTGGACCACTTAGACGAGCGGTTGCGGCTTCCCCCCTCCGCGGAGCTCAGCCTTGGCGGCCATGTGAGCAATTGGCGAGTTCTTAGGGTTGTAAGTTATGATCAACTGAAGAATGATGGTCAAATCTTCACGGGAGGAGCTTTTCAGATCTACTATCTTACGCAATTATCGGCTTCTTAGGAAAACCATCCAGTCCTAACGAATCTACACAAGAGGGATAGAGATAGATGGAGAGAGAGAGAGAGGAGAGAGAGGGAGAGAGAGGGAGAGAGAGGGAGAGAGCGACAGAGAGAGAGAGAGAGAGAGAGAGAGAGAGATAGAGAGAGAGATAGGAGAGAGAGGGAGAGAGCGACCGAGAGAGAGATAGGCGAGAGAGAGAGAGAGAGAGAGAGGAGAAAGAGGGAGAGGGAGAGAGAGGGAGGGAGAGAGAGAGAGAGAGAGGAGGGAGGGGAGAGAGAGAGGTAGAGAGGGAGGGAGAGAGAGGGGGGGAGACAGAGAGAGGTAGAGAGGGAGGGAGAGAGAGGGGGGGAGACAGAGAGAGGTAGAGAGAGGTAGAGAGAGAGGAAGCAGGCTCTAAACAAGGGCCACTGCAGAAAATAGTACGGCATCCAATAAACAAAATCGAATAATGAAAGTTAAAACTAAAGACCCGACCTCAATAGGGAAATGGAAATATTACCGCAAGATTCATCCTGCTCCACCTCCGGTTCAAGTAGGCACCATGCCGCCGCCGTCGCCGGAGGAAAAGAAGATCTGCACCACCAGCGCCACCACAGCGACGAGCAGCAGCACCAACTGGGCGAGCCAGCGTAGAGAGACATTGTAGACGCCATGGCGGAGCCTCAAAACCTCCTCCGTCCCTTCCAGTCCTCTGCAGAACGCAGCGACCTGCTCCAGCCGCCTTTTCAGCAGCGCCGCCTCCTCCTCTGCGGCCCTCAGCCTCTCGTTGACCGGGGGCTCTCCGTGGGCCCTCGCCTCGCCCAGTGCGGCCGAGAAGATGAAGCATTTGACTTCTTCCTCCACGCTCTTCCTGAACAGGCCCTCCAGCTCCTCCTCCATCTCCTTCTCCTCCAGCTGGTTCGTCTTGTGTAGTGCTTCTTCCTGATTCAGCTCATTTTCGACGGACGCGGAGCTGCTCCCCTCGCCCTCCTCGTGATTGGGGCGAGCAGATGCGTCCCTCCCGATCTTCCCCAGCAGATGGATTTCTGAAATTTGGAGAGCTGTCAGAAGTCAAAACTATAGAAGTCAAACACCAGAGGTCAACCCTATTGTCATCATCCTAGCCGATTTTCAGGAAAAGTCAGTGAACTGAAGAATCCAGGTGCTAAAAAACGTGGGCGAATCAAACTATTCCCTCTCATGAATAGCTAAACAATAGGCATTGAACATCCAGAGTCAACAGAGAAAATTATTTCTGTTCTTTGTTACCGTTAACATGAACATCGCAGAGAAGCAGTAAACAAAAAAAAAATCTCACCGTCGAGCAGCAGGGACAGGAAGAAACATTGACGAAGTCGATCCTGATTCCACTTTCAGAAAGTCAGCCTCAAGATTGATGCTAGAACTCCAGAACCATGACAACAGAGAAGCTGGTTGTAATTCTTTAACAGGGTTCTAGCGGGTATGAAGCTAGATTTATATTGGGTCATGTCAGGTAATGTACGACAACAGAAAAATAAGCTGGTTCTCGGACTCTTTGGCAGTTCACACATAGCTGAAGTTGACTTCAACGATGCAAGGAAGATATAGTGGTTCTCTCCAGTTGCTAAGAGTCTCCTTAAAGTTTTCCAGATTTCTGGACATACATGCTGATCCGCCATCATTGGACACGAACTTAGGAGCATAATCCAATCATTAAATCCCGATCCCTTCTTTTTCTGGTAAGAAATCTTTCTCTCCATTTCACAAAAACAGAATATAGCTAAAGAACTGTTGCCCAGTTCTTACACAGACGATTGTTTAGCCCTTGACTCCCTCGTTAAAGAAGAGGGCGTATCAAAACATGAACTGGTGCCATAGAAAAGGAGACTAATCTGATAACGCAATTAGAACGAGAAAATATACAGAATCTGTGTTTCCATTGTTTTAATTTCCCATATCAGGACCACAACGTAACATATGCAGTGGAATAGAATTTATCATATGGACAACAACGCAAGGCCAGGGGATAATATGGGTTCGTCTGCTTATTATAATCTTTACCTTTTTCAGGTAATTGCAGGAAAATTGAAATTGTTATGGGCATCTTGTCAAGACGACGCAGGTTTTCACCAGTTCCAGCTACTTTACATCAACCGCGTGGCGCTGACTCTTCTCTGTAGAACCTGATTTCGCTGTCCTTGAAAATGTGCGTGAAATATTTCATATGATTTACATACCTAAGTAGCTCTCTGGGAGAACAAGATTATTTTGGAGGAACACGTATGAGTTAAGGCCTTTGTTGAATAATTCCCCCGGATCAGACCATGAAGCAAAGTTAAGAACAGGAAGGAAAAAACAGGCGAAAATTTTCGATTATCTCTAAGATTCTGATCATCAATACAGTCAAACAGGATGGAACACAAATAATCAAAGCTAGGAACTACGGAGAATATTGATGCAAGCAAGGGTAAAGTACCTTTCTCGAGTGTTTCATGTACTGCGTGAAGTAAATTTAGCGACTCAGCAAAGGGATCTCCATCTATTTCAGAGGGGGTACAACTCTGTCTACTTTCTAAATTATCCTTCCCAAACACATCTTCATGCAATTCATCTCTTGATGTGTCCGCGACGTCTTCCCCATCGCTTCTGTACAATCCCTCGAGGCTGTCCTCGGTGACCTGGGTTTCAACATGGTCGACGAGTCCGTCGAAATTCGAAGATCCTTCACTCTGCTTGCCATTAGTGCTGGTACTGCCCCACTGTGCATAGACTGCGTTGGAGCTTCTCAGGTCTGATTCGACGCTCGAATGAGAGTCGTCCTTCTCGAGCTTCACTTGATCCCCTCTCAGCTTCTTATTGATCTGGAGAGGACCTCCCTTCCGACGCTGGCCCCGTACTTGGGCAACATTGCCCGAAAATTTTCCCCTGAAATTCCTCGCTCGGTCCCTCTCCTTCTCATATCCTAATCCTTCGTGGTTTGTTCTGGTGATGCTCCCCGCTGCGGAAGACGTGTTGCTTCGTTCATCGCTGTTCTCGGAATTTTTTCCAACCGAGAAGCTGCCAACAGCCTCCAACAGCTCGAGCTCGATATCCTGAGCGTTAGATACACCCTGCAAACTCCTCGAATCGATGGAAGCGGCCAGGTCCTTGCCCTCCAGGTCGCTCTTCTGCTTGTTCTCGTTCAAAACCTTGGAGGACTCTGTGACTGAAAACCCACGCTTGATCACCCGGCTAGGATCAGTGATGACGCCTTCTTCCTTGCTAATATCCCGCCTCACTCTCCTCCATCTTCTCAGCCCGTAACCTTTTGCTGTCGACGCAGGGGACGGTGAAGCAGAAGCATCGACAATCGGGCCCGAAGCAGGAGACTGATCCGGCGTCGGATTTGGCATTGGGCTCGTCGCCGCCACTCGGATCGCGTCCCCGTTCATCTTACCTGCAACTGGATTGTATCCGGCTGACTTAGGAAGCGATTGATCCACCGCCCAATTCCCGATTTCATCAGAATCGGCCACCCCCTTCATCGGATGCTCCTTGTGCACCACATCTCCATTTGTCTCCACCTTAACAAGAACATCGACTCCTTCCCCCACCCTGGATCCAGGCATCCCCTCCTCCACCTCCATATCAACCGAGAAAACCTCGCGCGGCCGCCTGCAGTCACCCACAATTTAGATTCCAACTCCTTGACAAAACATAACAACATCAAAATTCACCTGAAAAACGCTTTAATGCGGTCTCATTGTCAGATCAGAACGTAGATGAGACCAGAGATCCCCCGCTAAATGCGTGAGAACTCAGCGAATTCAGAGAAGATTCAAATCCCAACGAGCTCCAACAGCGAAATCCCTCCTCCGCGACCTCTCCGATGGGAATTCGCGGCGTCTTGAAGATCGGCGGGGAGATCCTGCCTCTGCTGCAAGCCCTAGAATTCCGCAGCCGCAGGTGGAGATCATGGTCTTCAAGATCGGAACAAAATGATTTTTTTAAAAAAATGATGACGCGATTAATGTACGTGGAACCATGCGGGATCTGCGCACGTGTCACCAGTGGCCTGCACGCGTCTCGCGAACCTCCTGTCCCAACTACCGCAGGGGATCCCCCTATATCTCTCCCAGATTCTCCTCCTGGAAGCGCTTCTGTCTGCTGCGAATCGTCACCAAGTGAAATTTCTCCGAAAGTTCGCTTCCTGCTGTTTGGGAATCAGATCTTGAATCGATTTTGCACGCAGTTATTAATTTATCGGGCCGATGTTGACGCGTAATGGGCCCAAAGGAAAAACAATAAAATGGGCTTTATTGAGAATTTACCCAAATAAAGCCTAGACTCGGCCTAGATGGGTCCCAGCCCTCTCATCCAACCATCAGTGGGAGGGAGAGAGAGAAAGGTTTATGCATGACCCTTAATGGACTGTTATATAGGCCCAGAGCCCCAATACGATTGGCCCATAGTTCAATATCAAGTTAATTATTTTTCCTATTATTATCAAAATAATTTGAAATGAAGATATAAATTATTTTCACAGAAATTCATATTTCTAAAATTAATTAAATTTTTTTATTCCAAATCATGTTAAATATTTTTCCTATTTATTATCAAAATAATTTGAATGAAGATAGAAATTAATTGCACATGAATTTCATATTTCGGGTCCAAATCGAGTACAGCCGTCAATCTTGATCTGAGCCGACTGATCCCCCAATGGACCGATCTCTGAGGGTCGGTTATTCCGTAGTTGTTTAAACTATTATGGGCAATTCAGGTATATACGATCATCCTTCGAAGCGCCTTGGAAAAATTGAATTCTCTGCGTATTCCACCCCGCTCTCTCTCTCTCTCTCTCTCTCTCTCTCTCTCTCTCTCTCTCTCCTGCATCTCCTCCGGCTCGTTGCCTCTTCTCATTCGAGCTCCAGTCTCTCCCACCGCCGATCGCGGTGCTTGAAGGGACTCTTGATGGGAGCCTGCTAGTGTTAGTTTGCCAGAATGGCGTCGGCGGCCTTCAAGTCGTCGACCAGGAGGTCGGCGGTTGGGAGCCCCAACGATGCCGGATCGTCCAGCAGGTCCGGCGAGTGCAGGCGATCGCGGAGTCTCAGCCGCTACTCTGGACGTGTTCCTCCGCCTGGGAAGGAGGAGGTGGATGATTTTCGTGCGCCTCCGCGGGGAAAGTTCGTGAACACGGCCAGAGGGTCGGGTTTCCCAGAGATAAGCCTTGACGACCTAGCCGACGAGTTCTTTACGGCCTTGGAATTTGAGGATGAGGTGGAGAGGGGAAGGGGAAGGGGAAGGGGAAGGAGTCGGGCTGGCCGGCGGCTCTCTGATGCTAGCTTCCTCATGGACACGGAGTCGTCGAAAAGGAGGGGGAGGTCAGTTTCGAGGAAGGGCAGTTTGGAGAGCAATGTGGGCGGCCAGCGGTGTTTTGATGGTAATGCGAGGAGACGTTCTTTGTCAGTTGCCCGGTATCAGTGCAGCGAGTCAGAGGTAACCTTGTGTTGATAATTCCTTTTGCGCGACTATAGAAGTAATGATTTCGACTTATGTATTTCTTTTTCTCTGGTAGTCAACTGCGATGATAATGAATCGAAAATTATGATATTATTGCGGACCAGGAAAAGTTTGAAATCATTAACAATCTTGATCAAAAGGTCAAGATGGGTTTGCTGGGGACCAAAATTTAACGCGTAGTGCCATGAGATCTTTTCCGAGAATGCTTTCGGATTAGTGTTGTTTCCAATCTCTACGCATTTGCTGCTCCACCGGAAACTCCCACTGCCCCGACAGTACTCCCAGCTTATTGGTTTACACCGGCTGTCCAGGGTTGAGCCCCGGGATTTTAGGACGGACTGGAAACCTGCCTACGGATGATTTACGCCCAATCGTTCCATTATATTTTGGTGTTCTTTCTATTTATTTACGGCGCACAGTAGACTTGGATTGAAAGCGGACAAAAGAACCTGAGGATATCATATTCCATGTCTGATAGGATGAAAAATTTATTCCGGTTCCGAAACATAATGGAAATATAAAAACTCTACTACTTCCCTGCATACACCCAGATTTTTGCTCAATGTGTAATTGACATCATGTTTCACCACTTCAAGCGAAGTTCCTTTGGTCTAGAACTTTCTAAATATTGTCCGTGCTTTAACCTCTGGACCACCACTTTTTGTGGGCCAGATGGTAGCTCCGATTAGTTTCTTTCCTTTTAGCCAATTTTTGCATTCAATTGGAGGATTCTACGTTTTCTTGGTTATGCACTGTGCAGTGTACTGTTCATTCATTGAAGCTTACAACTTCATTGACCAAAGCTGACTGCCTTTTTCTATCTTTGGAGGTCAGAGTGAATCAGACTTTTCTTGTAATTCCAGCTCTCAGAACAAGCTGAGAACCTCACAAAAAAGGAATTGCGAGTCCTTTACATCACATAAGCCTTCCACTGATAACACACTAAGGAGGGCCCGCAGCCAAAGGGATCTCAGATATTTACAAGACAGCCATTCGGTAATGCATGCAGACCATTTTAATATATGTTATGATTTTGGATTTATTTCATTTACATGAGTTTTCACTGTGATATACTGACGACAGAAGGCAAAAGTGATCGTTAAGGTCAACAGTATTTTATGTTTTTATGCCCTCCTTTACTGACAATATTTGGTGCATTGAATATAATTAATTCGGTTAGAGAAGTTTCATGACGAACAATTGAAAACCTTAAAAGACTTTCTTATGGCAGAGATACTCTTCAGCATTGACTGATGATGAATCACATAATGTTCATACCAACACTAGTGGGGCTGAGAAGACAATTGGGACTGCGTTTGACCACAAAAAGGTTAGTGCCAAAGTTGTGGTACCAATCAAGCTGGCAACGTGTATAATATACATGACTGTCAATTATATGGAATATTGAACTCAGCGAAAATTCAAAAGCTTTGTCTCTAGTCCTCATTTTATCTCTAAGTATTTTTTTTCTACAATTTTAGTCAGAGCACCCTCATGGAGATGGAGAGAATGATGGCTTGTATGAAGTAATGCGGAAAGAAGTTAGGCATGCAGTTGACGAGATCAGAACTGAACTTGAAAAGGTGTCATATTTTCCCCTGTTATCTTTTACCGTTGGATTCTCATGTCCTCATTTCACAATTTCGTGACCTACTTGTTTTTGTGTCTAGTCTTCATGATAATTTACGAAGTTTTGGTTCCTGATAACTTTCTCACTATATCTGACTACACTGGAACACCAGCTTCATCTTCTACTATCATAGGCTAGAATCTAGGAAATTATTTACACTACTTTAAGCATGCTAATAGTTGGTGGTGGAAAATTGTTGATCTTTTATTTTTACAGTAGATCAACCTGACCGGATGTCCTGTGATTATGGACGTTCTTATTTGTGTAGGTACCTAATATCACTGATCTTTTGTAGGTAATTGAGAAAGCTAAGCCCCCCATGCCTAGTGGTAATGATCCTCAGCCAAAAAGTTCAGAGGTGGTTCAAGCAATTGCTGAAATTAGAAGAAATTACACCTCCAAGTTAGAAGAGGTGCGTTGTTTACCTTTCTATTTTCTCAGGAATGAATGGCTACTACCTTGCTGTGCTGATTATATTCCGCATGGTTTTTGTGGTGAATACCACAGATGATGTCATGGAAATGATCTCTGACTTTCTTTGGATGTGGATGCATATATATGTGTATATGCTATGTAGTGTATGTAGTGTATGACTGGCTGAGGTATACGTTTATCTTAGGTCTGTCAGGTGGACGAGTTTACAAATTTTAGTTACTCAAATGACAGGGTTGTTTCTTGAAATAGGCTTTCAATGAAGGATACATGTGTGTATTTAACTTTTCTAAAAAGAGGCCTAGTAAGGACCTCTACTTCAATTAGGTGTCGTAAGCGGGAATCCTTTTGCAAAATAACACCTAGCACAAGTATGGTTCCAGCCCATTGGAAATTCTTTGAAAATAAAAAAACTATACGTTCCAATTACCTAGGAAAGCTGCCACCATGAAACACACTTTCTTTTGAGCCCATTTTTGCACCATTAATCCATACATTGGAAACTAATTATGTATGCCTCTAAGTGAGAGAATCTGAGGAGCCATATACCTTTGATACCTGTTTCTTGGTGCTACATTCACCCACCCCCTTCAAGCAATAGATTTGTGTTGTCGCCCCAATAACATTTAATTTAATAGAAAATTGACAATTTTTTAGTTTATGGTTCTTTCCTGAAAAGCTTAACTTCATGATGCTAATCAATTTTGACTCCACATAAATAGGAAATGAAGGTATGATTATTCATGGTTATTCACACAGAGAAGCTTCAATATGTGACGGTCAATCTTATTATTACTCATTTACAGTACACGAATGTTTAGATATATGAACTCTCAGAATGACTAAGATTTTTTTAAATTATCAAATGGGTAAAATGATGCAACATTCTTACCACTGTGCTTGAGTTCTCTGTCACGGGTGGCATCCTTTTTAGTTGCCATTAGAGATGCCAGTGAAGGCAAAATGATTGTGGATAGTGAACGAAGAGTGGTAAAAGAGGTATATTCCTATTTGGTTCATTCCCTAAGAATTTTTATTTCTGTTACTGCTGATTCTCTAGATGTAGAATGTTGGACGTCAAGTTATTTAATTAAATTCGGAAGCACGTGACTAATTTTTTTCTTCACATATTACTTTTTGTGTAATTTTGAAGTGAATTATCCGCAGATGGCCCAATATTTAAAAGACGATCATTATTTAATTTTCTACAGGTGCATCTGATATTATTGATAGTTTGTGAACAAATGTCCTTATTGAAATACTTTTTGTTGTGCATTTGGGATACCTTTGTTTTGGTTTTTAGGTCCAATTTTTATCTATTATTACGAGCTTGAAAGGAAATGATTTCTTTTACACTACGTTCCCACATTTCCTATTTCTTTGGCTTCGATTCACTCATTAAATACTTTCAATTTACAGTCAGAGAAGCGAAAACAAGACCTGTTAGCTGAGCTAGCAGCTGAAGAACAGCGTGGACAAGAGCTCTCAAAAATTGTCAAAGAACTGCTTCCAGGGACAAATCAAACTACTCCAGTGAGACAGTCACGGTTTAGAAAGGTCGTTTTCTCTCTCAAATCCTGTTCTGTCAAACTATAAATCATCTTCGAATAGCCTTGACTTCTGGCTCAGCTATCCTTCATCCAGTGTCAAAGCTGCTGAAGAATAGACTGACCGAATATGGTTAGGCTCTGTGTGGCAACCGTCTCACTATCTATTCATAAATATTTCACAGAGAAGCAATGATAAAAGCAAAATATCGAAGCATTTGTTTGAAGAAGCGGAGAAGTATTTCGAAGATTTCATCTCGAGTGTTGATGACACCGACATTTCATCATTTGACGGTGAGAAGAGTGATGGAGGTTCGACTATAGGAGGATGCACAAAGTCAAACGCAGTGGGTGAAACACAAGCAGGTCCTGCAAGGACTGCCTCTTCCCTAGTTGATACTGATGGGTTAGTTCTTCCCTGGTTAGAGTGGGAGACTTTCAATGATGGTACTCCTCTATCAGGCAAATCCAAGGTGAGCATCACTTATCTCCGGGACCAAAATTTCTGTCAATATACGCCATTTTTTTTCTTGATCTACCCCAAAAAGTTTCTCCTTTTCCTTTGATTTGTTAACATTTTGAATTTAGAATGCTATGTGCTGAACCTTGTAAAAAAGATATTATTCTATTTTTATGTTGGAACACAGAAGCCAGCATTTTCTACATTCTTCTCATTTGATTTTCCCTAATCTCTGGATCATGATCTGTGGCCCCTGCCTCTGTATAATGAACTTAATGGAAAAAAACAACAAAAAGATGTTTACCATTTGATCACATCATTACCATATATGATGCTGTTCTTAGCTGATCACATAAAAGTTGCTCTTCTAATCTCAATATTTACAATTTTATGGAGAGAAAATCCCCCCATTGCCATCGTTATTATTATTTCAATCTTATTACAATTCCATCCAGAAGCACCCAATGTTCAGTTTCCCCACATTATTTCCCCTTATTGTCGGCTTCCATTTCCACAGGAACCCAGCGCCATCCACAGCAGTGTGCGCTCTATGAGCAGCCATGGAAGTTGTAGCCCCGGAAATACCCATGAAAGCTACTCTGTGATCTTCAAGAATGAAATACCCGTAACAAAGACCAGATCCAGGGTATCCAGTTCATTCAGCATGGAGGACTACGCCCACTTAGAACATGTCGAAGATTTCCTCTTTGAGGTCCTCCTGCAGCGACGAAGAATAGATTCAGGTACCCTCGTTCTATGCGGAAGAATCTCCCATTAATCACTAATCTCTGCTCATGCTTTGTCTCCTCCTGTACATGTACATTTTTAGTAAACCCAGATTTTCTCCAGTGGATATTATTGGAGTAATTAGTGTTGGATGCTTATTATTTATGGAATATTTTCGTGATGTCTGTTGGTTCATGCTCATCAATGTGATTTTTTATTTATGACGGAACAGAACTTATTTACAGAGCATGCTGCTGCTGTATTTGTGACTCTAATGATCTCCTGAGGGCATTAATGGGTCAGATAAAAGGAGCTTGACGGTAGAAATCAGCTCAATTTGGTTGGGGTCAAATTGTGAAAGCTTTGCGATTTGATGCTCAGTTGGGCAGGACCTAGAGAACCCCTAAGTGCTAAGATAAAGCATAACCCTATCTCAATATGCTTAGTTATATCATATCACCCAAGAATTCCAAGTGATTTACAATCACATTTGTTGGTGTCTCAATACATATTTTCTCCAATCTATGTAAATATTTTTTTATTAAAATCTACAAATTCAATGATGAAGAAGTACATGAGGTTGCTTAAGGCCTTTGGCAATCAATTTCTCGATGTGCTTGATCTTCAATATTTGAATTTTCGTCATTACTTTATATATAGTAGAAAGTGTTCAGTACTTTTATAAATTAATTAAATCATGGTCACAAAGATCTCTTGAACTCTTACAAAGCATTTGCCCTTCTCCGAGGATCTCTACTATTATTGCATCTTCTACTATGTCACCTTCTTTGCTCATCTCTAAAGTCTATCTGAATTCATTGATACTTGTGATGCCTATCCTTGAGTCTCTCTCATGCGCATTTCTGATTGATCCTTTCACTTTATTAGTCACTCTCATTCAACATTGGACTTCATTCTGCTATCACCTTCCACACTTACACTTAGTGACCCACCTCCTAATGACCTTCACCTTCTCATTGTCTTATGAAAGGGTACCCATACTTATACCTAACATCTCATGGCTCAATTTGTATCTTATGATTGTCTCTCTCCTACCTATTGTACTTTTGCCCTTGTTGTATCCTCTGAGTCATTGCCCAATATGTACTTTTAACATCAAATTAGTGATGATTTTATTGATAATAATATGCTTGTTAGAAAGTGATTCTCTCATATTTGAGTTTTGTGACAATGTAAACTCTTTTCATTGCAGATCTTAACTTAAGCCTCACATACTAGTTGTATATGTTTAATGTTTGACATTGAACACTCATTTGGAGCCAATGTCTTTTTCCCTATATGGGATTTAATAACCTCCAGTGTCCCCTTTATCTAAAGAAACCCTGATTTCCTCATATGCCATATAACTACTTCAGATTCCTCACACTCCAAAAGAATAGTAGAAAATGACAAGAAACATAAAGTATAATATAAAGATGAAAGGCCATGTATAGTGTTTGGGTGTATATGTACATGATGTCTTATTTTAGTAGATGCCTTCACCTTCATAAAAATTAGTTGTCGCTCCAAATATTATTTTGAAAAAAATACAAGAGTGCACCTACCCCAAAAGCTTGATATTTTTATTAATTATGATTCGCAACAAACAAGTCCCAAACTCACATGGTAACTACTATTAGCTCACCTCCTTTGGATCTCAATTCTTTAATAGAGTATATTATAAAACCTACTATAACTATTAAGTCTATGGTACTCTTCTCATGTTGGGCTGCTATGCTTTTCTAAAGATCTAGAACATTTCAAATTAAAAAAATAGAAACCTACTATCAACTCTCCTTCTTACCCCCATCCACCCTTCCTTTGATGTAAAAAACTATCTGATTTTATGCAACCATAAGAGTCTACTTCTTCCTTTCATTAAAATCCATCTCAAGTACACTAGTTAGTAGGTATGAGAAAATTAATGTCAGATCCACAAGGACAAATGAATGATAGAATATATAATTTCTTACTATAAAGGCCATATAGGAGTTGTAAGTATTATTATACAAACATTCATTGCTGGATACCTTACATGTAGACTTGTTGAAATGGTTTGACACATGTTACTATGTAAAATATTTTGTGTTACTATTGAAATGATTTTCATAGTTCCACAAAATTAGATGACATGATAAATTTTTATCCCAAATCTCATTGGTAATGTACTAATAGAGGATAATATATTGCTACCATAAATCAAGATATCTAAATTGAATTTATTAATTGACTCATAAGTTTTTTACTACAACCAATATATTTTCAAGTTATTTTCTTATAATAATGTACATTTTGTATCTATGAATTGTGTTCTAGTCAGAGTCCCATTCATAATGACCTAGTTGAATTGATATAATTTATAAGTATCATTAAGAGTTAGTCAATTGGGGGGGCTAAGGACTCAAGTAACACTAATTTTTCATATTAGTTAGTCCCCATAGGTAGTTGTAGAGAATACCGCACCCTAGCATTATTCTAAGAATAAGAGATGCCAAAGATAGCAATTGAAAAAAAGACCTCAAGTTTGTTATTTCATCATCACCCTATTTATAGGGGTTACAAGTGGAATAAAAAAGAAAGTAAAAAAGGCCCAATATGAGTCCATTATATGATTATATCTCATAAGGGCATATGTAAAAATAGAAAAATATAAGAGTAAAATAGAAAAAATTATATGATTGTATATACTATCACTCCCTTTCAAGATGGTGTAGAAGCTAGTAAACCTTTAGTGAAGACATATGTCACTTGTGATAAGGACTTCACATATACTATTTGAATGATTTCACATATGATCTTTGCTTTGATAAAGTGTTTGTCCATTTCAACATATTTTGTTTGATCATATTGTACTAGATTATAAGCAATATTAATAGTTCATTGATTGTCATGATGTAGAATGGTTGATCTTTGATACATGATCTAGTATCATTGAGAAGGCCTTCAATCCATAATGCTTCACATATTTCTAATACCATAGGTTTTGTAACCACAAGTTACTTCTTACTCCTCTAGGAGTAAGATTCCCACCAATAAAAGAGTAGTATCCTAACATAAATCTCATAGTTTGCTTTAGTGTAAATTTCTATGTGGAGCTCTCCACCTCTTTTAAATAACGTCTCTATCCAATAGTGCCCTTCAAATAAGATAAAATCTTGTGAGCAGCTTGTAGATAAGATTCTCTCATATCATGCATGAATTGACTAACAATACTCACATGAAATGTAATTTCTAGTTGAGTATGATGTAAATAAATCAAATAACCAACTAATCTCTAATATTGTCTCTTATCTACTAAATTGTCATCTTGACAACAGCCAATTTGGAGTTTGGGTTTATTGGTGCACTAATAGTCTTGCACTCAATCTTTCATGTCTTCTTCAACATATTCAAAAGAATTTTTTTGTTGTGATAAAAAGATTCTTTTTTCCAAAAAGGTAACTTCAGTCCTTAAGAATTATATTAGTTTTCCTAGATAACTGATTTCAAATTGATTGCATAACTATTGACTTAGAACCCTTGACTCATCCTTGTGATTTTCAAAAATGATGATATCATCTATATACATTAAAAAGATTGTTATTCCCATGAGCTGTAGTGTTTGGTAAATAAAGTATAGTCTCTATTACTCCATTTATGTCCCAAATTCTTCATTACCTAAGAAATTCTTTCAAACCATGCTTAGGTGACTATTTTAATCTAGTTAGTACCTTTCTTAGCTTGTAAATTTTCATGTTTGAAAGAGTTGAATAATATTCAAGAGAAGGTTACATATATATATATATGTATATATTTCTTCTTTAATCTCTCCATAGAGAAATTCATTTTTTACATCATACTAATTTAGCTCCCATCCAAGATTTGATGGCAAGGCAATAAGTCTCCCCTTTTTTTCTTTGGCCTTTGTACTTTGGGCCAAACTTCCTGGAGGTCACCCTCTCGATACTTTATAGTCACAATCTTTGTGGGCCAATGGGGCCTTTTGGCACTTAGTCAGAGCAATATATGAGTTAACAATGCTTAGTTTTTTATGTCAGCCTTCATGGCACGTTGATGGGAGCACAATGGTGCTGCATAGTAGAGAGGTTAGTACCACATGCCTCACAACACCATAATGACTCGCCCACTTGTAGGGGTCAAGGTAATAAGTATCCTTACTATATCTAGTTTTGCCATTAGGGCAAAAGTCTCCATATAGTTGATGTAAGATTGAGTATAATCTTTGGCTACAAGTCTAGTCTTATATCTCTCTAAAGATCCATCTGAGTTACATTTTATAATATATACTCATTTATAGCCCACATTTCTTTTATTCTTTGGAAGAGTAACCATCACCTAAGTATTACTCTACTCTAATACTTTCATTTCTACATCTATTACTCTCTTCCAATTCACATCTTTAAATGCTTTCACTCTGGTTTTTGGGACGCTCCCATTAGATTTGTAAGAAATGTTCTATATGAGGTTGACAATATTTCATATGACATAAAGGTTGTCATTAGATATAATTTTAATTTTTTTACAATAAGTACCTTTTCCTAATACAATAAATCATCTTGCTCATGAGCTCCTCCTGATGTTGTATCTTCTCTTCGGTCAAGATCCTCTTGTACTTCTTAAAATCTAGTATTATTTGTATTGTTTGAATAATATATGATGCATCATCTTTTCAATTCTGATTTTGAGTATGTTCTATAGGTATTGTTGGTATTACTAGTTCTATTAGGACATTAAGATATTTTGCTGGTTGAGAGATTCTACAATACATACATTATTGCTTTTGAATTGAGTTTATCTCCTAAATGATGAATGTACAAATAGGCAATACACCCAAATACCTTTAGGAGTAAATGTCTTCAGCTTCACGAGATATGTCTATGTAAGTATGTCAATTGAGTTATGATAATTTAACACCTCTGAAAGAAGTTTGTTGATCAAATGAATAATTATTAATAATACTTCTTCCCAAAGATATTTAAGGATATTTGCGATGAAACAATAGCGCCCTTATATATCCTACCACATGCTCAATCTTCCTCTCTATTACTCCAT